TTCCGCTTGTCTGTTTTGCTGATTGCAAAATTATTACCCCGAATTTGGCAAACGAAGCTCAATTAAAAAGTTCGTACTATACAGCGGGAAATAAAAAACAAACAAAGAACGCTAATGTTTTATTAAGAACGGTATTAGTTGTGTATTGGATTAATAATTTAATTGATGTTTTATGGGATTTCCGTGAGTAGCAGGTTTGCAAAATGTTAGCTGTTTACACGATGAGTCACACCGAAATGAATTGAATACTTATATTCAATACAAGTTCAGTAATATACATCAACATAGACCCAAATTCTTCTTTTATGATGTGGTGTGATATTTCTCTGGCAGCACCATCTTACAGACCTTGGACAGCTTATCGGCGCAAGTGCTCATAATTTCCAGCCACTCCAGCTTGCCCTTTTCTAGCTGCACCATATTCACTAGCTATCTTTATGGAATTTCCGTGAGTGGCCGACTTCGAATATGTTGGGTGTTTGGTTGATGAGCAACATGGAAATGATTTCAATACTTATGTTCAATACAAGTTCAATAAAATGTATAATGGGGGCTACACTAAAACATAGACCCATACACCCAAATGCTTTTTTTTTATTGTGTGGTGTGATATTTCTCAGACAGCGCCATCCTAAAGACCTTGGACAGCTTATCGTTCCAGCGTTCCAAACGCTCATAATTTCCTATCATTCCAGTCTGTCTTTTCTAGCTGCACCACTTCCACTAGACATCTTCCTGAAAACTTGAGTTTCTTTCAAAATCTCTTTATTCTAGCGTAGTAGATGAACATCCTTTCCGTCTTCATACCTGTTTCCGTTTCTACACTAAAACATAGACCCATAAACCCAAATGCTTATTTTATGGCGTTGTGTGATACTTCTCTAGTATCGCAATCTTACAGACCTTGGAGAGCTTATCGTTCTAACTTTAGAAGCGCTCATAATTTGATGGTCATCCTTTTTCGTCTTGATCTTGCAAACGCTCAAAATTTCCTGTCACTCCAGCCTACCACTTTCTAGCTATATCACTTCCACTAGGCATCTGTATGAAAACTTGAGCTTCTTAAATTTTCTCTTCCAGCGTCGTAGGTGACCATCCTTTCCGTCTTCATACTTGACTTCTGTCATGTTCCGTTTCCGATTCTATACTAAAACATAGACCAAAATGCTTCTTTTATGATGTGGTGTGATATTTCTCTGGCAACGCCATCTTAGAGACCTTGAACAGCTTATCGTTGCAGCGCATATAATTTCCTGTAGCAGCACCGCATTTACTAGGTATCTTTATGGGATTTTCGTGAGTGGCAGATTTGGAATAGGTTGTGTGTTTGGATGATAAGTCACATGGATTTGATTTGAATATTTATATTCCATACAAGTCCAATAAATTGTATAATGTGGGTTACACTAAAACATGGACCCATAAACCCAAATGCTTCTTTTATGGTGTGATGTGATATTTCTTAGACCGCGCCATCTTACAGACTTTGGGCAGCTTATCGTATCATCACTCCAGTCTTTCTTTTTCAAACTGCACCATTTATACTAAGCATCTTCATCCTCCTGATAACTTGAATTTTTTTCACAATATTTTTATTCCAGCGTCGTTGATAATTTCCTCTCACTCCAGCCTGTCATTTTCCAGGTACATCACTTCCACAAGGCATCTTTCGGAAAACTTCTTTCAATACTTGACTACTGTCATGTTCCGTTTCCGATTCTACACTAAAACAGAGACCCAAATGCTTTTCTTATGGTGTGGTGTGAAATTTCTTAGACAGCGCCATCTTTTAGACCTTGGACAGCTTATCGTTCCAGCGTTGCAAACGCTCATAATTTCCTTTCATTCCAGTCTGCTTTTTCTAGCTGCACCACTTCCACTAGACATCTTCATTTTCCTGAAAACTTGAGTTTCTTTCAAAATCTTTCTATTCCAGCGTCGTTGATGGCCTCTCTTTTTCGCCTTCATCTTGCAAGCGCTCATAATTTTATGTCACTACAGCATGCCATTTTCTAGCTATATCACTTCCACTAGGAATCTTTTGAAAACTTGAGATTTCAAAATTTTTTATTCCAGCGTCGTAGATGACCGTCCTTTCCGTCTTCATACTTGACTTCTAGACAAAAACATTGACCCATACACCCAAATGATTATTTTATGACGTGGTGCGATATTTTTCAGAGAGCGCCATCTTACCGACCTTGGACAACTTATCGTTCCAGCGTTGCAAGCGCTCATACTTTTCTATCACTCCTGTCTGTATTTTTTTAGCTGCACCACTTATATTAAGCATTTTCATCCTCCTGAAAACTTGTGCTTCTTTCATAATCTTTTTATTCCAGCATCGTAGATGGCCATATTTTTTCATCTTTATCTTGCAAGTGCTCATAATTGCCTGTCACTCCAGCCTGCCATTTTCTAGCTACATCACCTCCACTAGGCATCTTTCTGAAAACTTGAGCTTATTTAAAAATTCTATATTCCAGCGTCGTAGATGACCATCCTTTTTCGTCTTCATCCATGGCTTCTGTCGTGTCCGGCAACCACGTGGATAGGACATCTTTCTTTCTTTTCCACTGCAATTCTTAAATAGTTTACAGCTGTCCTTTAAAGTGTTCGGGACTTAACTCTTTTTCATCCCCAAGTACTTCGACTTCAGTAATGGGGTCTTCCACTACAATTCTTTCGTCCTTGCTGATATTTTCTGCTATTTTTCTCTGCGAACTCATCACTCTCCGTTTCAGCTACTATACGGCCTACTATAAGCCAAAGCCTTTTATATAAGATAAAAAACTGCAACAAAGCCATAATTGGGAAATATCATCAAATTTTAGAATAAGTTTAGATTTATTCGAATTGGTCACCTTTGGCACGAATTAATGCCTTTAAATGGCCAATGAAACCGTCACACGCTGCCCGAATGTTGCTTGAGGTGATCGATACTTTGGCATTTTTTAGTGTCAATCTTGCTTTCTAAAATACTCCTGTCACAATAGTCCAACGGATTGGTATCCCGAGATTTTGGTGGCGATCTTTCCTCAGAAACCACCAGTTCCGACTTGAATTCCAGCACTTGATTTAGTAGGATGCGGCATTCATATCATCCTTCAAATTTAAGTCTCATTGATCCTGAATGGATGGAATGCTCTCTTTCCTCTGCAGCTACTAATTAGCTTCTGCACTTGATTTAGTAGGACTCGACGTTTATATTCATTCACATCATCCTTTAAATTTAAGTCTTATTGAACCTTGACGTTCAATAACAGTAACATTTCTTTAAGGTCAACATTGGCATCCACAGTAACCTTCAGGATACATTCAAGCTTTATGTTAGTTGCAAGTTGTTCCACCTTTTTACGATTTGCTTGAGTTCCTGCACTTGATTTAGTAGTACCCAACCTTTTTATACCCTCCACCTTGGAAAGGAGGGTATATTAACTTTGTCATTCCGTTTGTAACATCCTTAAATATTCGTCGTAGACCCCATAAAGTATATATATTCATAATCTAAGTCGATTTAACGATGCCCGTCTGTCTGTCTGTTTAAATCACGATACAGCCCACATTATTTGACGTAGAGCCCCAAAATTTAGCAGAGCAATTTGTATTGTGTCTAGGATGGTTGGTATTGAAAATGAGATATATCGGTCCACGTTCTGGCATAGTCCCCATATAACGGTACCTCCCGATATTCGGTATTTTGATGATTTATGCCACATTTGTACACGGATTTGTCTGAAGATTGGTATTTGTAGGTCATAACGGGTCCCTGTGCAAGTGGCAAAACATTGCATGTATAGGTTCACGTTTTGGTATAGCCCCCATATAAAGGTACCTCCCGATATTCGGTATTTTGATGGTTTTTGCCACATTTCTTCACTGATTTGTCTAAAAATTGGTATTTGTGGGTCATAATGGGTTCTAGTTCGTGTGGCGAAATATTGTATGTATAGGTCCACGTTTTGATATAGTCCCCATATAACGGTACCTCCCAATATTCGGTATTTTGATGATTTTTGACACATTTTTCCAAGAATTTCTCTGAAAATTGGTAGTTGTAGATTATAATGGGTCCCAGTTCGTGTGGCGAGTCCACGTTTTGGTATAGCCCCCATATAACGGTACCTCCCGATATTCGGTAATTTGATGATTTTTGCCACATTTTTTCACGTATTTGTCTGAAAATTGGTATTTGTAGGTCATAATGGGTTCTAGCTTCTATGCCGAAATGTTGTATGTGTAGGTCCACGATTTGGTATAGTCCCCATATAACAGTACCTCCCGATATTCGACAGTTTAATGGTTTTTGCCACATTTCTTCTAATGTTTCCTTTAGCCTAAGGTGGAGGGTATTAAAAGTTTGGCCCGGCCGAACTTAATGTTTTTTTCTTGTTGTTCATTCACATCGCCCTTCAATTTTAAGTCTCGTTGAACCTGGACGTTTAATAACAGCAACCTTTTTTTAAAGTCAACATTGACATTCACAGTAACATTCAAGGTTTATGTTCGTTGCTCGTGGTTCAACCATTTTACGATTTGCTTGAGTCCCTGCAATTGATTTAATAGGACATGGCGTTTATATTCATTCACATCACCCTTCAAATTTAAGTCTCGTTGAACCTGGACGATCAACAACAGTGACCTTTGCATTACAATTTTTTCACCAATCCGTGAGCATGTTGTAATTTATGCGTATTCCTTATATATAAGAATAAGATGCATTCTATATAGTTGTTGATTGAAAATATATACATATTTGGTTGGTTGTGGAAAAATTGCGGACGAGATTCTTTACATTTTTTTTTTATCTTTTTTCACAGTGTTCTCTGTATAAGTGCTCACATTGACCAAAGCTTCCCGCTTTTAATGTGACCATTAATATTCCACGCCTAACTATTTTGTCTAACGCAGCTATAGAAATTACAAAAAAATATAAGCACACCTATGAAGACAAACAATCGCCATGCAATTTTTCAACGTTCATTCGAAATTCTAACGTGAAGATCACTGGAAGAACGCAAAATCGCGCATTGTGTTAAAGAAAGTGGTATTTCTACAAATATTCTAGTCAAGTGGTTTAAATTTTTGAGGCTTGCAATGTTGAATTCCGTCATAACATTTACACCACAGCAGCTAGAAAAAATAAATGACTTAAGAAATTTAGTGGAAGGTATGTAAAAAAATAAATTGAAAAGATTTTAAATTCACATTTATTCTGCTGAATGGAGAATATGTTTTCGAAATATAAAACATCGTGATATAAGACCCAATGGGGTCTACAACACAGCTTCATCGTTTTCAGTAAATATTATTTCTATTCAGTCGCATATTACAGGAAACAATTTCATATCCAGGAATTTGAAGAAAATTTCAGAAGATAAATAATTCTCTTGGTAATGGCAAACTTAGCTTAACTTTTATAGTTTTTCTTACAGATTCCCTCAATCTCTCCGTGGGAACTGATGACATATTCCTGGCCAAATTTTTATCATTTAAAAATTGGCATTTGGAGCGGGCCTATGTGGCCATACACAACTACTATGATTTTAAAGCAGAAAATCCTGATTGGATGGCTCATCATCATCCGGCCTATTTCCGAGAACAATTTCTAGATGTGGCAGCAAGATTTGTGATGCCACAGCCGGATAAAGAAGGGCGACCAATATTGATCATTAAATTGGGTAGAAAACAAAAAACAAATAAATGTTAATACATTTTAGAAAATATCTTCGTTTTTTAGTTGACGTATTTGAAAAATACCCCAATTACTTATTGGACAGTGCTGAAATGGAAGATTTAATATTTGAATCCCTGCTGCTGTTGCCTCAGACACAGGAAAATGGTTTAACGGTTATCTTTGATATGACTGGGTAAGAAAGGGAAGGATTTGCTGATATTATTATGTTTAATAATGTTTTGTTACTGCCAGATTTAATCTCAACTTTTTACCCTATGTTGCACCACGTATTACCCGCATGATCCACCAAAAGGACAAGATTTTGCCTTTCAAGAAACGCTACGTTCATTTTATATTGGGTGGAGCTTTTATTAGCGCCATAACTACACTTCTGATGCCCCTTATGCATAAGGAATTCAAGGAGAATGTAAGTAGAAAAACAAAGACGACTTCAAAAAAAATTCATGGGATTGAAATCATACTACGAATAATAGGAACATGTGGTAAGGCTACCGCCTGGTCATTAGAATTAATTTAAAAATACTTTTTCGTTGCTGCCTGCAATTTGTTTGAGTTAAATTATAAGATGTAACCTAGAGACAAAGGATCAGTGACTGATAGTGAAGAAAAAATCTCCGCATAAATGTTAAAGCATATGCCCCGTAAAGACATATCTGGAATTGTTCAAAGAGAGAGAGAGAGAGAGAGAAAATTCATCAGCCAATAATGTCGATGCTTAGTCAGAAAGAGATTAAAGCGGAGAAGATTCATGTATGAGATCTTCAGACAGAAGTGGTGAGACTATAAGTCCCCAGGAAGACGAATCGGTTAAATGGCCGCTACTTACGAAGTCCGAGAAAGAACTCAACCATGTACAGGAGTCTTCCAGTTCTTAAGAGAATATGCTATAAATATTCAAGCAAAGCACAAGGTCAAGTTTTTGGAGGAGAAAGTAAAACTACTTTTAGGGGATTTGACTTCTTCGGAGGAGGACCGAAGAGAAGCTAAATCAGAGCGGGATGAATACGCATCAACAATAGCAAAAAATACCATCAAAGCGAAGGAGTTGGAGTTGAGGGCCCCGTAAAGTTAAAGCATTTTGAGAAAAAACAGAATCAAGTCATGAAGACTTGGAAAGACTACTGTCAACCACTAATGAATCCAATTGCAAAAGTAGATTTAAAGGATGTGATAAAGATGAACAAGAATGACCATGGACACTTTCAGTTCTTAAAAAACTGAAAACCCCTACTATCCCTATGCATCTATAAAAAGACAGGCCAGAATGACAGGAAATTATGGACGCTTGCAAGGCTAGAACGATAATCTTTCAAACCTCTGTAAAATGATGTTGCCAGGGATGGATGAAACCATTGGTCTTAGATAGAAGACGACACATGAAGAGTATTGAAGCCAGCACATAACAGGAGGAAGGACATTCAAAAAAGACCGCATGAAAAGATGGAGTCGCTTGAAAACAAGGGAATGAAAGGTAGCAGTTAGGCCTATGGAACCCCAGACCTCTAAAATCGCTGCAGGGAAGAAGAAAAAAAGCATTCCTCTAAACCATTGAAACCCGTTACACAAGTGAAGGAGGTGAAACAACGGGTGATCATGACAGGGTCAGACGCCAAGAAGGCTACAACGAACGGACCCAAGAGCGTATGCTGAGTTGCCAGTCTCATCGAAATTCGACTAGGACCCTCACTAAGTGGCTTTGAAGAAGATGCGGTCAACTGAAGATTAGCAACACCATGCGTGGAAAATTGAAAATTGGTAATTCTTTGCGGAAATCTTGAGACCGCAAAACCGAAGCAGGGTCATCAATCTATCCAACGGATGGCACCGGAGGACCTTATAGAAGCGGTTATTGATCAAATTGACTGCATGATACTTTCTTTTACTCAACTCGATTTGGGGGATTTTACTTCTTTGGAGAAGGACCGTAGAGCAGCCGAAACAGATCGTGATTAGTTTGCTACAAAAATAGCAATAAATACCATCAAAGTCGAATGAAATGGAGTAGAAGACCCCAATACTGAAGTTGAAGTACATGGGGAAGAATCAAAATCAAGTCCTGATGATTTGAAAGAACTTCGGTCAACCACTAAAGAATCCAAGTGCAAAACATCATCCTCATTCTGAGAAGGAAAAATACAGAAGTCAAAGATGAGCCGAACGCCGACAAGATGAAGACGAAAAAATGGCCATCAGCGAATAAGATGCTGAAGGAAGCTTTTAGTTCCTAGGAAAATGAAAATGCCTAGTAGAAGTGGTGTACATAGAAAAAGACAGGTTGGAGTGACTGGAAATTATGAACACTTGCCACACTGGAGCGGTAAGCTGTCCAACGTTTGTAGAATGGCGCTGCCAGAGAAGGATGAAACAATTTGCCTTAGAAAGAAGGAAGACGACACATGAAGTGGATACAGCCTAGAATTTGAAGTGGGCAGACAAAGAAGTTGGAACTTTCAAAATAGACAGGATAACAAGATCGAGGAACTTCCAAAACATGAGAGGGCAAGGCATTGGTTGAGCCTACGGAACCCCAGACCCCTAAAATGGCTGCGGGGAAAAAGTAAAAAATCGAAGCATTCCTCTAAGCCATTGAAACCGGCTCAGCTGAGCCTATTCGCAGCCCCATGCTAAGAGACCCAAAACTGAAGCAGAATCAGAAATCTGCTCAACAGATGGCACCGGAAGACAGGAGGGAAGCGGTCATTGATAAAGTTGACCTCATGATACTATCTTTTACTCGACCAAATTTGTCCAGCCTTGCTTAAAACCCCTGAAACCGGCTCAGTTGATTTATCAACCATTACCGTTAAAACGATGAAAGAGGTGAAACAACAGGTGATCAGGGGAGAGCAGCTACAAAGATGGCTACAGCGAGCGGATATAAGAGTTTTGTGTTCTTAGCCGCCAAATTCGTAGAAGAGCAAACCTCAAATGCGACCAGGCCCCCCTCTCAGCTGGTGGCTGATGCGATCATCTGAGGGGTAGTATTCCAAGGCGAAGAAAATGGTAACGACGCAGACGATACAATAAATCGTAACGTACTCTTCTGTGGCGGCAAAGAAGGTTAGGAAGATAGGATGTGAAGATGAATGAAGCGGCAATATTCCGCTTAAAACTTTGCTACCCAAAACCGAAGCAAGATCATTTATCTGCGCAACAGATGGCATCGGAGGACCTTAAAGTAGAGGTTAATTATCAGTTTAACCTCATTTAAGGGATTATTCGTAAGCGTACTCACAAGAAAACTGGATCAAAGCAGACATCCTTCGAGGCCCCGAAGCGGGAAGTACTACTCTCCGAAAGAAGGGATGGCAATGTTACGGTTAAGTCTACGGAATAGGGCAGAGTCAGCTAGCAAGAAGGCTACAAGAGTTTCAAGTCTCGTTGAAGCCAGCAGCCACAAAGGCGACCAAATCCCCTTCTTAACAAGTGACTGTGAAGCGGATGTGGTCCGATGAGGGACAGAAACCCCATGCGAAGAAAATGACGACGACGCAGACGATACACCTATCCATTACGTTTGCTTCCATGGCAACAAAGCAGGATAGTGGGATGCACCCTGATGGGTAGGTGAAAGTCGGTATGCTTCGCGGAAAACCTTGTGACTCAAATCAGAAGCAGTATCATAATTTTTCTCAACAGATGGTAGCGGAGAACAATGGAGAAGCGGCCATTGATCAGATTGACCTTATTTTAAGATATTTTCTTAAACTTAAATATAAGGAAATTGGATCTAAGCAACCAGAAAGACCTCTAATGTGCCTAAATCAGAGATATCATATCACTCCAAAACAAGGAAAGGCCAGGTGGTGGTTAAGTCTAGGGATCAGACAGAGCCAACTACAAATAAGGCTACAGCGAACGAATTCAAGAGCGTTTTCTAAGATGAGTCTTATCGAAGGAAACAGCCTCGAAAGCGACCAAATTCCTCTCTTAGCGAGTGGCTGTGAAGAGGATGTGGTCGCAACCCCATGCGAAGAAAATGGTGACAACGCAGGAGGTACAACAGTCCGTTAAGTATGCTGTGGCGGCGGTAAAGAATGATAATGGGAAGCACCCTGATAAAAGTGAACGACGGTAATGCCTTACTAAAAACCTCGCGACCCAAATCCGAAGCAGGATCATCGATCTAATCAGGCTGAAGCCATGATACTATTTTTAACTCGACCAAATTTGTCCAGTAAAAAAATTTTAAGAAGAACCACATTCGATGCTATTTCTAAGGATTTTCTTTTAAAATCGCCTACAAATCTTTCTCGATTTACATATATATTTAAAAATTCAAATTTTTTTCTCATGTTTTTATATGTTTTCAGACCTTCAATCATGATGGTAAAAATTTCGACAAACTACGCAATATGATTGGATATGCAAATTTACCAGCTGACTACGGTGGACCTGAAACGAATAAATTGAAAGTTAACCTTTTATGGAATCACATTGAAAAGCACTCAACTTATTTGTATAATCTACAACAATATCACAAGAGGAAGCGACATTAAACAATGGAAATATATTTGAAACAAAAGAAATAAAGAACGCACACAAATTTATATGCTTGTTTATGGATTGTTTCAGAACTGCAATAATATATACAAGTTCTTACTACGATAACCGATTTACCCTTTATGATACCAAAAAGAATTAAACTAGATTATTGCAGGTACTGGAACAGAGCATTAAACACATTTGAAACCTGCCAGAAATGGAAATTTTGACATGCACATGGATAACAAACGTTACAGCACATATGTAACAAGCATTCCGTCTGATAATTGGCCTGCTCCAGAACTGCAAGAGTCTAAAACGAAAAAAATTTCAAAACTAGTAGATTCTTGCAGGTTCTGGAATAGAGAACATTTCTCAAGTGGTCATATTTCAATGCAAAATCGGATGCCTTATACCGACATCTAATGGCTAATTTTATAACTATGAAATTGAATACCATTTTTATGTTCAAAAATATTGTTGGCAACACTTTTATTAATTCTTCGAAGCAATACCATTTTTAAAGCAACCACCAACAAACCCGTATATCGTTTTATGCTTCTAAAAATTCCACCTCGTATGCTATAAAACACAGAAAGCACACAAAAATTTAAAAATAATTGTGTTATTGAATAAGAAGTGGCGAAACAGATTATTGCAGGTTTTGGAACAGGACAACAGCTTTGAAACAATACTGCCTCATCCTAATTGGCGACATCTATTTGTCTTCTTTATTAACGGGGTTGTCTGTATTTTCAGTATAAGAAACATACAACTCTGTATACACGAATAGTAGGGATACGTAGTTGCGGCATTATACAGGTTTCAATAGAACCAAAAGTCACTATCGATAACTACAATAGTTAAATGTGGTTTTATGCATCAAATCACTTAATATTTGTCAATGAATTTTAAAGTTTATGCTATTTCACTTTCAATCACGTTATTCGCTCTCAGAATTAGGTATACGAATTAACCCGTTCATACGGCACGATTCGTAATTCATAGTAAAAGAATTCCTTATTTCAAAAATCTTGTTTCGTTTGAATGTATATACGCCATTTAACATTGTAGTTTTCATTCATAATTTTCAGTCTTTCCAATTTTTTTTAAAATTAAATTAAATTTTTCTATTTTTAATTTTTAAATGTATTAATTTATTTTTTCGATAAATGATCTGATTTGTTAGGGATGGCACACATTTCATCTTAGTTCTGAGTGATTTGAATGGAACAAAGAACAAAAAGCTTTATTCGCTCAGCAAATTTTGTGTAGGGAATTCAGTAGATACTTCTTAACTAATGGTCGAACAAGAAATAGAGAGTGAATCACGTGCCATGTGAACTTGGCATAAGGTAGACCTACCAGCTGATTACAATTTTTTCGGAAATGTCACAAAATATGCCTAGCCATGATTTCAAGCTACTTATGTATGTACTTAAGAGCTAAGTACATAAGAAGCTTGAAGTCAGAAGCTTAAGTGTGTCCGACTTCTGCCAAGTTTGTTAATGTATTTATTGTTTTGGAAAATAAAAACAAAATATTTTCAAAATTAATGGTTGGAAGAAACGTACATTGCAGGACGCGCATTAAAGTATTCGCCAGTTTTGCCATGGATTTGAAAGATCATATTTTTGAAAGAAACTGTTGTGCTTCCTTATTGTACCATGGTTAAATGTGGTTCTATAAAACGAATCATTTAATTTATTTTTAATGATTTTTTAGGTTGAGGGCACTCATGGTACGATTTCAAACTTTTTATTTGATATCTATTTATTGTCAAGTCTACTGATCTGTTCCAGAACTGCACGAATATAAAGGTTTTTACTACGATCAACGATATTTTTTTCTCGATGATAACGAAACATTTTTTCAAAACTAGTAAGTTCTTGCAGTTCTGGAGCAGAGCATATATTATGTAATTCTTCCTTTTAGATATATTTCTGACAGCTTAAAACCTTTTATATCCTCTTTTCAGGAAGAACATAATCTAAATCAGAAACCAAATGAAATTTTCCAGTGCATGCAATAAATTACTATTTTTGCAAAATAGGCAAAATCGGTTGCAAAATAGGAAACATTATTGCAGTTCTGGAACATACCATAAATAATATCCCCATAACTAATGTGAGACTAGAATGGTTAAATTTTGCTTCAAAAATAAAGGTTTGATTTTCAGCTATTATCTATTTGGCAAGACTGGTTAAATAGCTCATGATCGTTTAGTGTTTTGTTTCACTGTCATATAATGTAACCATGAATAACCTTACAAATGAACAACGCTTATAAATCATTGAGTTTTATGATAAAATTCATCACACGCTTCTATTTTGTGGAAATTGCTTTTCGGCGTATTTTGACTAAATTTCACCAAAAAAGAACACCAACACGCTTACGTAGAGTGAGAAATGAAGGAAGTATTTCAGCTTTATTGGTTAATGATGGTCATTAATTATCAATTCGTTGCCGCTCGCAGCTATCGGTCCTCAGTTGCTTAACAACGTGGGATATTTTACGGAAGACTTTATATGTGAAGCCTTTTAAACTACAGCGGGTTCGAGAATTATGCCGAAAGGCCTACCGAAATGTAGAATTTTTAGTGGATTGGCTCTCAGAAAATTGGCCAAAGATAAACTTTTGCTCTGTTCCAAATCTGCAAGAATGTACAAATTTTCACAACAATAACCGATTTGCCCTTAATGATATAGAAGAAAAATGCAAAACTCTTTGATTCTTGTAGGTTCTGGAACAGGTCATTTTTTTTATCGAAAAATTGTGTTCAGCGAAGAAGCTCATTTTTAAATCAATGGAAACGCAAATAAACAAAATCGTCGAATTTGGAGTAAAGATATGTCAGAAAAATTGCAAAAGCTACCAATACATCCAAGAACACAGTTTGGAGCGGTTTATTGGTCGGTGACATCATTGGACCGTACTTCTTTAATGCTGCTGTAAAGTAACAGTAAATGCTGAGCGGTTTAATGCGAGGTAGATTTGTTCTACTTTCTGTAATTGTGCCATGATTTTCCCTTTATGATATCGAAATATATTGCAAATTAGTAGATTTTTGCAGATTCTGGAATAGACCAAGAACTATTTTTTCGATCACAAAGTATAAATTGGTTACCGCAGCATTTTTTTTTGTTTTTTTTTTTTTTTTTTTTTTTTTTTTTTTGCATTCTTTCTGGTTCTGGAACAGAGCAAAATTTTGATTCTTATTTTTCAAAATTTGTTAAAATAAAATAATTGTCGTTAAGTGTCTTTCAAATCCAAGGCAGAAAGAAAAACAATTGTTTTTTCATCGTTACGGCAAACGAATTTTTCTTAATATTTTTTTTTTTTTTAATGACATGTAACCAATTTTCGCTCTATGACCGGAACCAACGTTTGTTTCTATATTTTAGCAAAGTAAATACATTTTTTTTTTACAATAAGACCTATCCCTTATTACGGCCCACTGTCAAACGCATAAATTGCCTAAACAATATTTTTTTCTTTTTTAAAATAGCGAAAACACATGTTTTAAACAAGAAACTCTGATAATGTGTACACTACATAATTTTACTGGTCTTTGCTGCCACAAAACGATAAATCGATTAGTCAAATGTCGATTTATATATCCCTTATCACAAGTTATCTCAAACTACAGCCAACTTCACACGAAGGCAATACTAGAACAAGGAGAAACAAGAGAAAACGGTCAAAAAATTCGGAGAGAGAGTAAAATAAGATTCGTTTTTTAGTGAAAATTCTTATTAAAATTAAATTTTAAACAAAATTAATTTGTTTAGCATTCAAATCGCTTAATGTTTATACATTTTTACTAACGTACAATCGTAACAATACTGCATGAACACAAACAAAGGCGAACAACCAACCGAGAAATTTGTGCTAGTGTCAATCTTGAAAAGAGCTGGAAGAAGAAGCAGCAGCCGTGTTTTCAGTGGTGTTGGTGCATGAAATAGAAATAAAAATAAAACGAAAGAAAAAATTGCGGCAAACAACAAAATAAAATTTCAATTTCGTATTGATAACATAATGTCGAAAACGAAAAAACAATCATTATCCGGTGGCGGAGGAAATGGTGATTCTTTGGAGATATTGAATTATAAGCCCAAAGATCTGGTGTGGTAAGAAAAATGCTCGAGAAAAAATGAAAAAACTAAGCAAAATTTCAATGGTTGGAAAAAGTGCTGAAATGGCAGTGGCAGCAGCGTTTGCCCACCGTTGTCAAATAACTATCATGCGGGGGGCATTCATTAAGTAGTTTTTTCGTTCATTTTTTGGTGGCTGAGAAGAAAAAAATGGCGCTTAAACATAACCTCAATATAATTATAGTAAATAAAAGTCGAAATAAAGTAAAATTGTTGTTAAAAAATACGTAAGATGTGCACAACAGTGTCTTAAGAACATGCCGCAATGGAAATTTCCTCGGTAAAACACAAAAATTCTTTATTTTCTTCATTACAACTTAAGTGTATGCTCTGCTTGCGCTGCTCAGTTAACGCCTTGGCCTCTGCTTTGTTCTCAATTAGTATTGTGGACAGAGGCCCAAAAAATCCCGCGCATTTTTTCCTATCTTAATCCCATTGGAAATTTGCTAGTTTTTCATGGTGTATCATTAGAAAATGTTTGTTAATTTTACTTTTTTCTAGGGCCAAGATGAAAGGTTTTGCCCCATGGCCGGCTATGGTAAGTGAAAAATGCTTATTTTATTGCTTTTATTTTTCTACAAGTATTCTTTCCAAACAATATTCGTCGTACAACGTCAGCGTTATCATGTTGTATTTTGTTTGACAAACGTCAATGCTGGCGTTGTGTTGTTTGTGTGAGTGTGTATTTACTTTTCTATTACAACATGTTACGGAACAGCGCTGTTCGTTCGCTGCCGACGCCGCTCTCCGCTAACATTCGTTGTTGTTTCTTCGGTGTGTTGTTATGTGCCTCCTCTTTATTTATTATTGACTGTACTTTTGCGTATGCGATGGTTCTCGCTCGTGTTCATTGCTTGGATGGTTGGTGTTGGTTAGTTGAGCAGCCTGTGTCTTTGCTTTATGATTGAATTGTGGATGTTGCTTGTATGTACGGGCAACGTACCTACCGTCCGTATTTGGATAATTTGGTAATGAATGAAAACAAGCAAAGAAAAAGTGGGTTGTTTTCTTCCTCTTTGGCTGTTTTTGGCGCAAAAGTTGTGTGAAATCTAACACAGATTTTTTCGGAAGACATTATTACAAAATTATACCAAAGAGACCACAGAGATGAGATTAGAAAACAGGAAGAGGATCTCGATAGAAAACTAGAGTTTTTAGAAGTCTTGCCTTTAAAGAAGACTCTTTATTGGTAATGCTAAAACTAATAATTTTAAATCCAAAAACTCTAAACTTTTCAGTATTGTTATTAGGCAAGTGATTACGAACTCCAAGGAAAATTGAATGTTGACCAAAAGCTGGACTGCGAGAAAAAATGTTCGCTGTAAAATATGTTCTTTCATCCTAGGTACAAGTGATATGGGATGAATATCTTTTTGGACACTTGCTAGCCAGTTTTAAAAGAGGGTGACAGGAAACAAAACCGAATATTTTTTGGATCCTAAGTATGGACATAGCATTTTCACCCAAATTTTGGGATGTCACCCTGTGGTTTTATAATCGAACATTCTGGATTGGATCTGCACCACTTCCATTAAATTCTGCTGGATTTATTTTATGAACAACCAAAAATTGTTATTAGCCAAGTGGTCAATCATCGGTACAAGTGATATGTGTGTTGACATTTGCATTCCTGGAAAAATTAATTTTTGGATTCTAAGCATAGGTTTTTGGTGAGACCTTTAGCATGACATTCCCTTTTTTTGCCTCCCTGTGCTATAGCACCAATTCTTTGGCATTCTATCTTCAAATAACTGGTTTGGCGAATAGTATAGTCAGGAGACTTAAATGATTATCGTTTATCATAAATAGACCTCCAATGTTTATTCCACGGTCAAGAAATGAATACGGAAAATTTCGAATAGAGCTCCTTGCACATATCTTCTTGTAAATAAATAGAAAATGAAAAAGAGTTTTTGGAAAAATAGTGAATTAGAGCGTATTCAAGGTCAATGTAGACTTTAAAGCTCTTAAAATGTTTATGGAATCTATGTCTGATGAGAAGGTTAGATTATCTATATCTTGATATAGAGCATAGGGCACTTGAAAAAAATGTTCCAACGTCTCTAACTCCCCGTCATCTTTACAGAATCTACAGTAAATTGCTGTTGAAACAGCTTCACATGTTTCATTTGATTTCTGCTAATCCTCTTCTAACTTTAGGTTAAAAATTCTGCTGTTTATTTTGGGCTGTAACCGGAAATCTTTGGTAGATTTGGCAATTAAAGAGCTGTAGCGCATTATGCGGGCCTGTCTCACACACCAAACAGACGTTTCGCAAATCTTCATCAATTATTTTCCAATACAAATTGAGACGACTGCACTATCCTGAAATTGATTGCTCTAAAAGTATCATGGTTTATCAAGGCAGCTGACGTTCTTCGGCTGCAATGGATGGGGGATGGACTCCGAGGACGCCATTCCTACTGTAATTGTTAATGACATCTGTAACTGCATTAGAGTGAATGACACTCAGACCTGCTTGATAGACTTTCGGATCTAGAGGCTCTCTCTTACAGCGTTGGACCTTCTTCTCTAGATGTACGTAACCTTCCATAAACGGCCTACGTGAGGGAGTTTTATACATCATATGATGGTTTGATTGATGGTTACTTTATGTGTATACATTGGCAGGCCATCTAGAAGACATTCTCCTGTCGTTTACAAAACCATAATAGTCTTAGCTATATTGGATCCTCTTCAAGGGTATTTTAAATGTGTTTGACACTGGTATCCTTGAAGAAAAGCTGAAGTACTCTCCCAGGCTCTCGCTAATAAATTCCTTAGCTGTCAGAAAGGGCATATCGGCTCACTCCTTTTGGTATCTGTGTCACAAAGAGGTCAACATTTTGAATTACCAAAAGTTCATAAAATAAATAATAAAAATATTTCTACCAACATTTTGTGTAAAGTTGATACATACCGGTCCAATTCTTCTGGTACCTCCACAGAAAGGATCAACATTTGGAATAACCAAAAATTCACACATCCCAACTTTTCTTTGTGATACCTTCCCCAAAAGGGTCACCATTTCCATATCTCAAAACAAGTGAAACAAGTCCTTTCAAAATGTCGATTATCTAAATATTTCTCTTAACCAGGGATCTAACGTAAATATGGAATTTATCGGTGCATTCGGGTTAGCATTTTGAACAATCATAACGCAACTCAATATATATTTTAATATTTTTTTTACAAGAACGTTTATTTTTATTTAATTATTATAAGCATAAGCATATCCATCATCATCCTCGCCATATTGCACGGTGGGCATGTTGATAATTCTTTTCTTCCTCGCCTCCATGTATACGTATAGGAAAACACTTGCAGCCAATATTAGTGGTATACTCAATACTAAAGCCATTATTTTGGCAATAAACATCGATGTGGTATCACAGATAATTTGTCCTTTAATATTAAGTGATTTGTTGAAACCACTTTTACATTTACAATTGCCATTAAGTTGACATACTCCATTATGGCATGGTTTACCACGACACATGCTGTCCTCCTCACAAACATGTGGATCAATGGATTCATGGTATCCGTGCCAGCAACGACATTCATTTGAACCCACACAATCGGCATTTTCACACTTCTCGCGGCACAAAGGTTCGCAATGGCTTTTATTGGTTTTACGAAATCCCTCATAGCAATAGCATTCATCATAATTATGCAGGCAATAACCTCCACCCGTGTTGGTACACGAACAATGCTTGAGAACACATTTTTGAGCTTCATAGTCGGGACGAAACAATTCATCATTGTCACATATTAGTTCACATTCACCCGTTTCCGGATTCATTTCAAAGCCCTTAAAACAAACGCACTGTTGTGGACCGCTACACACCGAATATGGCGGACATTCGGGATCATCGCATATCGGCTCACAATAATAAGATGTTGGTCGTGGCTTTCTATAGCCTTTATTACAGACGCATTGATTTTGATGTGGACAAAAACCATTCTCACAATGGCATACTTGCTGACAAGCTTTTGTGGTTTGATTCCAAAAGTAGCCAACGAGACATTCACATTCATTCGGCCGAATACATCTGCCATTTTGACAATTCTCGCAATAGGGTTGACAGTGTTTACCAATTTTCACATAGCCCGAGCAGCATTTCGGTGACGTTACGATCTGCGTGGAAAGGAAGAAAGAAAGAGTTATTAAAAAATAAGGGAATTTAATATATAAAAGTGTTATAGTATTCTACAGTCTTTACTCCTCTTAATATAGAGAAAGGTACAGGCTTCAAATTTGTAGCACCAAATCTTGTATCAAAACGTTGATTTAAAACAGCTAGGAATAAATGCGAAAAGTTACCTCGCCAAATCATATCTTCAGCCTTATGGTTGTAAATCATCGAAAAAAAGCTTCAAGGTCCAATATATCTCTTGAAAAAACACGTTACTGGAACCTCCCCGCGAATAGTTAAAAAATTGAATATTCTTAAATTTTCATAAACTGCGAAATTAATGCCGGCATTTGAGTATTAGATATACCAGTCTACTCATTCCAGTTCCTTCCAAACAAAAGGTTAATATATTTTGAAAAGTGAATTCGATGTCTGATCGCAAATTTCTTAAAAATCGTGAATCTTGAAATCCTTGAACGAGGTGTCCACCCCATTTGGTCAATTTTTATACCCTACACCACAAGGTGGTCAGGGTATTATGTCTTTGTGCATTTGTTTGTAAAAGGCAAAAGGAAACGAGATAGACCGATAGTTCCTTTTGATGATCTGCATAGAATCACATTCTGAGTCGATTTATGCATGTCCGTCCGTCCGTCTGTCCGTCTGTCCATGTATTTTTGTAAACAAAGTACAGGTCGCATTTATTGCCCGATCCAGATGAAATTTTGCAAAGATCTTCTGTTTGGTCCAAGGACGAACCCTATTGAAATTGGAGATAATCGGTCAAAATTTAGATATAGCTCCCATATATATCTTCGTCAGATTTGCCTTTTATTGTGCACCAAACGTGTAATATCAGCCCGAATTGTATGGAATTTTGCATATACACCCAAATTAGGCCTGAAAATATGTATGCCAAATTTGATCGAAATCGGTTCAGATATAGCTATAGCTCCCATGTATATTGTTCATCCGATTTGTTATTTTTGTCCACCGCCGCCGTTATATGCACCCTGCAACAACAATATTTGGGGAAATATATCAAATACAGCTCAGAAATACATTTGCTAAATTTTATCGAGATCGGTTCAGATTTGGATATAGCTCCCATATATAACTTCGTCCGATTTACCTTTTATTGTGCACCAAACGTCTAATATTTGTCCAAATGGGATGGAATTTGGCACTTACGACCGAATTGAGTCTAGAAGTTAGTATGTCAAATTTGGTGAAGATCGGTTCAGATATAGCCTTAGCTTCCATATATATTATTCATCCGATTTGTTACCCACAACCGTAATATGCACTCCGTAACAACGATGTGCACCAAATGAGCAATACAATTCCGAATTTAAAAGATACAAATGCTTCGGCATATTTAGTCCTTTGAACTTTAAATTATAGTTATAATCATAGCGTGTATGATTGAATTCTCCCATAAAAACTTTTAATTATTATGTGGAGCTCTACTTAAATAGCAAAGTGGTGTAGGGTATCATAAAGTCGGCCCCGCCCGACTTGAAGACTTTCTTTACTGGTTTTTAACTGTCTTTGGATTTTTAAAAAATAATTTTAGAAGGGATTTTCTATGACTTCCAGTACCGAATTCGTATTTTTTAAAAATATACATTTTGAACGTTACATCATGGAATTGTCCTCCGATACCACCTTTTGCATGCGACTATTTAGGTCAACTACCTTGGCAGTCAACCACTGACTAGAGCTCCAGCCATGGATTACCGTGGTCTATTTCCTCTTCCTCAGTATATAGTTATTGTTGGGGCAACCCACATTAACAATATGGCATCTCATGTTGCAACATCCTATACGGCAACGCTCATATAATAGGACGCCGTGCTACCGCCATTTTTGCTTGCTCAGTCTTGTTTTGTCTGTCACTCGAGTCTGACTCACTACATTGTAACTTCTACATTCTTTTTAAATTAGTAGCTGTGAACGCTCATCATCCAATAAATCTTTACACCTTTAGTATTAACAAACATTGGCTTTTATTTCAACTATAAAAGTACAACAAAAGTGGCGACGAGGATAGTGGAAATTGATCAATAATTGCACACACAACAATCCGCAAAAATGTCTCAAGACATAATTCTACAATTGTTAACAGAGCAACAAAAAGCAATGTCGCAACAAACGCAACTGCTAAAGCATATGGCTGATCTTCTTCAAGCACAAGGAGCACCATATTCACCACACTCACCACAAACATCAAATTCATCCAAAGCAGCACTAATGGAATCACTAGCACAGTCAATGACAGCATTCGTATACGAGCCAGAGAGCGGTCTGATATTTCAAGCGTGGTACAACAGGTTTGTGCATGTTTTCGAAAAAGAAGCAAGCTCACTCGAAGAACATGACAAAGTGGCCTTGTTATGGAGAAAAATGTCGAACCAAGTACATGAAAGATTTGCCAACTACGTATTACCAGCAAAACCTGAAGACATGACTCTAAAGGATACAGTAGAGAAACTCAAGAAACTCTTTGGTAAAACAGAAACACAAGTCTCACAAAGATACAAATGCCTTCAGCTAGCAAAAGGCGACAGCGAAGATTTCAGAGAATACGCAAGCAGAGTAAACCTACAATGCGAACTATTCAAAATGAAAGAACTGAAAATCGACCAATTCAAATGTCTCATTTTCGTCTTAGGACTCAAGTCAGCAAAGGACAACGACATAAGACTTCGCTTACTAAAGGTACTGGATGATGAAAACACTACAATGAACCTAGATCAACTAGTAGACGAAACACAACGAATTCTAGATCTCAAATCGGACAACATTCTCATTGAACATCAATCAAAAATCGTCTGTTCACTCAACAAGCACGCAAAAGACTTTAAGAAGCACAAAACACCCAATTCACCCTGTTGGTATTGCGGAGACCTTCACTACGTCAAATTTTGTCCTTTCCAGAAACATAAATGCACAACATGCAATCAAGTGGGTCATAAAAATAACTTTTGCAACATCGCTAAGACTGGTAAGAATTTAAAATCATCGTCTGAAAACAACCAGAACGAATTCAAGAAATACAGCAATTCAAGGAAATCATTCAAAACTAAGGCAGTTTTCAAAACACACAACATTAATTTCCGCGACTTAAGGAAATACACAACTGTCCTAATTAACAACAATCCTGTAAAACTTCAAATTGATACTGCATCAGACATATCAATTGTATCTATCAACACATGGAAAGCTATAGGTAAGCCTGAAGCCTACGAAACTTTTGACAACGCTAGCGACGCAAACGCAAACTCAATCAAGCTCCTAGCAGAATTTCAATGTGACGTCACAATCGACAAAACATCAAAAACATTAAAATGTTATATAACAGATATAGAAAAACTCAATATCATGGGAATCGATTGGATTCAAGCATTCAATCTATGGCAGAAACCAATAACCTCATGGTGTCATCAAATAAACTTCGTTGATGAAATAGCAGAATTGAAAACGAATTATCAATCAGTTTTTGATAACAGTACCCCAGGTCTGTGCAAAACAAAAGTCAACAATCACGAAAAACCAGCAGATGACTTTATAGTGGCTTCAATATCATTCGAAGAAGACATACGTAACGAGATAAATGAAACTATGTCAGTTCTCCCAGTATCATTTAAAATGATCGTCGATGCAACAACAAAAGACACGGATTTACAAATGGTCCTCAAATACATTCAAACAGAATGGCCAGAAAGCAAGAAAAATATTAACCCATCAATTATTCAATTTTTCAACCGCAAGGAAAATCTTTCAACCTTCGATGGTTGTATTCTCTTCAATAATCGTATAGTAATCCCTAAATCATATCAGAGACAAATCTTACAACAACTTCACAGAGGACACTTATCAGCAGAACGCAGCAAAGCCATCGCCAGAAGTTATGTTTATTGGCCAAACATCGACAAACAAATTGAAGACTTTGTTCGGAAATGCAAAAATTGTCAACATGCGGCAAAAAGTCCAGTAAAAACAAATCTTTGCCCATGGCCATTAACTTCACACCCTCTTGAAAGGATACATATAGACTATGCTGGTCCAGAAAAAGGTAAATATTATCTTCTTATCATCGACTCGTATTCAAAATACCCTGTTATATACGAGACAACAACGACAACCACATATGCAACATTAAAAATGTTAAACGAATATTGTGCACTCTTCGGAAATCCTGAACACTTGGTCTCGGACAACGGAACACAGTTCTGTTCAGAACAATTTGAGAAGTGGTGCAGCAAAAAAGGCATTAAACACACAAGGACTGTTCGTTTTCATCCAAGTTCAAATGGACAAGCCGAGCGTTTCGTTGATACACTTAAACGTGCATTAAAAAAACTAGAAGGGGAAGAAACGCCTACGGAATCTCTCCAAACCTTCCTAGAAGTCTACAGATCCACACCAAATCCCAATGCAACAGAAGGTAAGTCTCCAGCAGAATCCTTCATCGGAAGAAAAATGAGAACGGTCTTCGACGTTCTAAGGAAGCAACAATCGCCTGAGTATAACGTCAATCACAAAATGGAACAGCAGTACAATACCAAACACGGTACCAAAAACAGAGAGTTTAGCAACGGAGAATTGGTCTATGCCAGAAACTTCAAAGGAAACAAAAGTTACTGGACAACAGGCGAAATAGTCGAGCGTAAAGGGAAAGTCATTTACAACACTCTAATCGACGTTGGGGACAGGAAAATTCTAGTACGAGCTCATACTGATCAACTTCGACATAGAGAATCGGTAGAGTCAAGCAGTCAAGAACGACAAAAACTACCATTGGACGTACTACTTGAAGAATTCGAAATCGCTTTGCCTAACCATCAAGAACATTTTGCAACTCCAACAGGTTCACCAAACTGGACACCTCAAAGAATAACAAGTCGCAGACAACCAGTCGAACCTATTTCAAGATCACCTTCTCATCTTAAGGAGGGAGATGTTGGGGCAACCCACATTAACAATATGGCATCTCATGTTGCAACATCCTATACGGCAACGCTCATATAATAGGACGCCGTGCTACCGCCATTTTTGCTTGCTCAGTCTTGTTTTGTCTGTCACTCGAGTCTGACTCACTACATTGTAACTTCTACATTCTTTTTAAATTAGTAGCTGTGAACGCTCATCATCCAATAAATCTTTACACCTTTAGTATTAACAAACATTGGCTTTTATTTCAAACCATAAAAGCACAACAGTTATGCTGTTCTTTTTCACATCCCCGAAGTTTACAGGGATGCTGTCTTGACTTTGCTTTAACGGTCCCATATCCGCAATATCTTGTCGGATTGCTATCTACTGTCTGGCTACACTATCGTTTATTAGGAACACATCCCCGAAGTGTACAGGGATGCTGTCTTGATTCTGCCTTAACGGTGCCAAAATCCGCAATAACTGTCAGAAGCAGATGATCCTGAATCACTGCTCGAGACTGATCCTAAGGTCATTCTTGTTGAGGCTGATCCTAGGTCATTCTTGCAGCTATACAGTATATCTAATAGGTGCTTTTCACTATACGCAACCTGTGGACGCGTCCGTTAGCAATCAGCTATGTTCCCCGAACCCGAAGATCCACAATTAAATTATACGCAAGTTATCTGTATTTTAGGACCTTCCTGTACATAAAACAATATTTCGTTGATACTTTTTACCTACGGGCAGGAACCCATTTTGACCAATTGTACTGGAGAGGAGTTTTTATGTTTTCATGTTGAACAAATGTAGTGGATTTTTTTAACGAATATTTGGAAGGACTTCTGTTCACAATTCGATAGTGATATTTTTACCATAATTATCGATATTCTTAACCTTCTGACCAAGAAACGTGTTTTTGCAACATATATTGAAGAACTTGGTGACCATACCCTATTCAGTTTTTAAGAATATTTGAAGAGATCTGTTGAGCAGTAATCGACTCAAATTTGTGACAACTACAAGAATTTATTTTCAATGACCATGCCAAGAATCAACCATTTTTCTAAAAAAAAACATTCTCCTTCTAAAGCATCGTGAATCTGATAGTCTTGCTTTGGACATTTACCAATTTTTCTGCCCTGGAACTCCCATTTTCACCACTTTATTTAACAACAACATACCTGACCATTAGGCATTTTAGTTTCTTCGGAACACATGTGATCTTCAACATCTATTGCTGCCGCCAACGCAAAAAATTGTCCAATTATTACCAAACTTATTAAAAATCGTAAAATCATAATTTTGACTTGTTTGCTTTTTGTTGTTGGCTATTTCTTCAAAGAAGTTCTTGAGTATACTAAGATGAAGAAGCTATTCTTTGTAATGCAGTTGTCGTATACTACTATATATAGATTATTTATACATTGTGGTTTGGATCAGAAAGAAACTTATAGACATGAGACAATATTTAAAAACCAAATGAGTAATATTATTATTCAAATTTTATTGAATTTTAAGTGGAGATTGGGGGTGGCATCTTAAGGCTGCTTGAATTTATCGGAAAACCCCATATTAAAATAATGGCATGACCAAACATTTTTCAGTCAAAAAGACCGGAACATTTGATGTTTTCAACATAGTGGTTTCTGCTGGCTCTGAAATCCAAACACAAAAACAGCGTGTAATTTCTACTGAAAATTTAGACTTAATCTTAAGAAATAACATAGAATTTAAACATATCGTGTGGTAGCAGCAACTGTATTGGTATTTTTTGAAAGAAATCACCCGCTCAGAAAGACTCATGATTGGATGTATAACTCGACCTCTTTTCTAAAACCCAAAAATATTAAATAGAAGCCAAAATCGTATGAAAAGTTCGGTCAACATTTCCATTATTTTCTGGACAATTTTAGGGGTTAGGTTTCCTACACGCACAAGAACACTAAACGTCTTTATTTTTTGTGGGAAATTTAAGGTCATCTAAAAGAAGGCGAACTAAATTATATGGCAAAAGGACGTCTTAAACTAACTTGTTTATAAAATAAAATAAAAATAAATCTACGAATCGAAATTAAAAACTTAATATGCCCTCAAACTTTTAGTAGAGGCTATAATAAAAGCAAATTAGTCATCCAACAATTTATAGAAAAGCAATTGCATTTTTTTACTTAGACATTAGAAACGTGACATTCGTCCCTTTTTACTTTCTTCTAATTATGATGAAATTGAAAAAAAAATCTTCACATTGCTTTGTTTAATAATATACTTGGGCTTTCTTTTCATCGGAGTATTCGAATCCAAATTTCAATTCAATTTAAATTAGAAGAGGTAACAGTATAACTTGTATTTTTTTAATAGTTTTTAAGCAGTTTCGAATGCATCTCAATGTCGTGAGGAAGCCAGTAAAAGGCGTAATTCCAAGTGTAGGTTAGGTTACGGGATGCGCAGGGATAGGGATTGGAGTCGGCAGCTGCTTCATCATGAGTCTACTGTGCTCATCCTTGGAAGAATAAGTGTGAATAGAAAATATATAAATTGAGAAAAAAGAAATAAGAATTGGAGATAACTGGTAATACAAAGGCTTTCCTGTGCCCACCTCGATTTGTAGATCGGACCTGCTAAATGAAAGAAGGATGCAGGTTCTTTGTAGGCTATACTGCCCTAGATATCTTGTAATACAGGTTTCCAGGGAGCAGGTTCCTTGTAGGCCGGATATCCCTAGATACCTTGTAAAACAGGTTTCTAGGTGCAACCTTCTACGTTGAGAGCCTTCTTGGATCGGGTGACACAATAGCTAATAGGTGGTTTGACATTCTCTTCAATCGGTAGATCAATCGATTGTGAACCAGGTATTTCAAGAATGACTTTCTTGCGGCGAAGAGTTTCTCTGTATTTGATGGATATGAGGGCCGCCTGACTATCGACATATATAGTTACTAGTCCTGTTTGCTACAAGAAAGTGAGATTGAATTTGGACAGAATACGCCAGGACCTGTGCCTTCTTCCATCTGTGTATATGGCCAGCAACTCAAGCGTCTCTATCCCGAATAGTTACGTCAATGAAGTTGAAGTCGAAAAGGATGACACGTGGTCACTAATTGTATCACCTTCCGACTTGTAGGTATGCTCAGGATCCATGCATGACCAAAACGCGAAAAGCGTAATCATCCCGCTGCCCGTAGTCTCAGTGCACTCCTTGTTGCTTGAAACTGCGCCAAAAGATCCAATGGCTGGATCTTTAGCCTCACATTCCACGTCGACTGAGGAGTGCCCTCGAGAGCTCCAGTTATCAGCAAGGACGCGGCTCTGTGCACGATCTCTTGGTCTTGGTACCATGCCACCAGACCAGGCACCCATAGGTCACCACAAGTACGACGACTGTGATGTACGACTTGTGGTTGAAGTCCCCAGATTCTTGACTGTATATGCGCCCCTCGATGTTTTCCCCCCAATTTATACGCCTGCCCAGAGTCGTATAGAGATATTTGGCACTAGAAGAAAGTTTCAGTGTCCCGATCCAGTACTGGTAGCGATTTTTCTACTTTTCGTTTTCTAGTGAATGGTAATAGGTCAGTTGTTGCAGGGTTTACTCCTATACCATTTCGATGGGCTCAAGCAAAAAACTGCTCTAATGCACCTTGTCTTAGGTCTGCGATATTTGAAATAAATCTACAAATTATCGGCACCACGGCGATGACTACCTTTATTCTCAGTTGATCGAAACACACTGGTATTTCATTTATAACCTAAAGCAAGAGGGTGAGAGGAACTCCTCCCAGCTGTGTTGTACTTCTGTTGATCTTTTTACCTGATGGAACTCTTCCAAGCTCGATTTTGATAATCCTGATTTTTGGCATCCTATCAATTAATTATATCAGGATTGTGGAAATACCAGAGACATAGGGAGCATTATGGATCAATTCCAGCTTCACATTTATAAAAACCTCCTCTATATCGAGAAAAGCCGCCAAAGTAAAATTGGTGTTTTCCATATTTTGTATCCGACAACTTCTTTTAGGACTGTCTGCATTAACCAACCCTTGGCATAGGCATGCTCCGAAGTACTTTTTTTATTAAGGTCTTCATTATAAAGGAAGAGAGGCTAATCGGTCTGTAGTCTTTAGGTAATTTGAGACTGGGTTTCCCGGCTTTGGGAATATATGTTACCGTAACTCCTTTCCATAGATTGGTTACGAAGCACAACGCGAGGAAAGGCCTTAAACATCTCCTGCAAGATGGCCAACACCGACACAGATGAATTTTGCAACATTGCTGATATATTGGTCATCAGTAAAGGCTAAGTATCCCTCCTATAAGTCTCTTCCGCTGTACAATGTACCACCTGTATCCTTACAACAGGGAAATGGATGAGTGAGCCGAGAGTCTTGAGACCAGAATGTGTTATCATCTTGCTTTATACTGCCTATGAACATCGGGTTCTTAAACATTATTTTGCGAAATCTGACAGGGCCATTCACTCCCTCCAAAGACTCGTGAAAGCTGATTTTCGTTTAGTCTTCTTTAATTCGCTTTTTTTTGCTTATTTAAATCTGCTTTATAGGAGAAGAATAACATTGTCCTCCGTCCTCCAAATCGGTGGGTATTTTCCTCCACAGGATAGCAGATTCGACAAGCTTTCTCATAACTTGAAAGAAGAACACTTGGGAATACTCGTAAAAGCTGATCTTCGTTTAGTCTTCTTTGACACACTTTTTGAATATTGAAATCTGCTTTATAGGAGAAGAATAGCATTGTCCTTCGTCCTCCAAATCGGAAGGTATTTTCCTCCACAGGATAGCTGATTCGACAAGCTTTCTCATAACTTGAAACACTTGGGAATACTCGAGGGACCCAATTCAGTCATTTTTGGATCCCTATACGATTTTTGACACCGAATTCAGCCAGCGGAAAGAATAAAATCCACTGGTCTGAGAACCCTTCGACTTCTTAGGCTCTTCGGCCTTATCCGTGGCTACAGGATCTCCTTCAACTACATAAAAGGAGGTAGGAGCCAACATTCCGCATGGCATGTCACAGACTGGCATGGCGGCGATTTTGCAGCCTTCTCAGACCTGTTTCAACTCTGTCGTTCAATTTGCCCAATTCTGTCCTTTTTGAATTCCTATAAGATTTCTGACACCGAATTTAACCAGCGGGAAGAATATCATCTACTACATCTACATCTGAGAACCCGTCGATCAACAGACAATGATCTTCGCTGATGAACTCGTTTATGTCAGCCTGACCAATGACCGCTTCTTATTTCTTATTTCTTAAGATATTTGTATTCTGATCACAATCGAATATTTATTTATTTTTTCGATATACACGGGTTTTCATGTTGATTGATGAGTTCAATATCATATTTATTTTATTTATTTATTTATTCAAACTCATTTGTGTAATACAGGGCCTCTAAGACCATAAAATCATATTACATAGCTAGCAAAACCTGAGTATTTAATACTTATAATTAAATACAAAAAAAAATTAAAACTATAAAATAATTTCTCTTCATTGGCTCCCCAGCCATAATAATATAATAAGACAAGAAAAATATAGCGTCCAAGCAAACAATAACTCAAATAGTTGTAATACAATGCAATCATTATGAAGATCATTTCACCAAAAGTCAGAAAATCAGAAGCATGGCTATTTAGAAAAGAAAACTACAGCTCAAAAGAAGCAAAATGAATAAAAAGTTTCTTCCTAAAAACATTATTAGAGTGGGAAAATATCCTCAGTTCATAGGGTAATAGATTCCAATTCCGTGCAATTCTAACTAAGAACGATCTCGCACAAACATCTCTATAAATCCTTGGTATAACTATTTGAGGATTTCTTGTTGAATGAGAAAACACAAAAAGACTGTATAGAGATGTTGGTGTGCGACATTTGATAATATTATAAAAGGCAACAAGAATCCTATAAGACACAAAATCGGTAAAAGAACACCCCAGAAAAAGTTTAACATATCTAGATATATGGTTCCTTCGGGGAACGTTGTAAACAAAACGCACAACTGAATTTAAAATTCTCTGTAAACGCGTAAAACTGATCCCGATACAACCCGAGATTACTTCCAAACCATATAGGATGTTAGACATCAGCACAGCATGAGCTAAATATTTTCTAATACGAAGAGGCATATATAATTTGGCGGAATAGATCTTTCTCAACAAAAAGCAAACTCTCCCAGATAAAGCATCAATATGTTGTCTAAAAGAAAGCTCATTATCCACTATAACACCTAAAATTTTGTGGTGAGTAACAAATTCAATATTATTGTAATTTAAATGGACATTTATATCGGAAGCCATATTATTCCTCTTACCAAACATCAAAGCCTTAGTTTTTGACGGATTAATTGTAAGATAATTCGCCGATGCCCAATTAGAGAATTGCTGCAGACATTCATTTACATTGCTTTCGAACAAAGATAAGTTATCACTATCTCCAGTTAAAATGAAGAAAATGTCATCAGCAAACTGCAACATTTCACAAGATTTGAACTGCATGGTATCACGCAAGTCATTAACATAAAGGAGGAATAATAGTGGTCCCAGTATAGAACCTTGCGGTACACCACTATTTAAACTCACTGGGTCAGATTGGTTACCATTGATAGCAACAAACTGTGATCTATCTCTGATAAATGAATAAATCAGTTTACAGGCAGTTCCAGAAAAATTAAAATTATCTCTTAATTTAGTGATTAAATGAGCAAAGTTAATGGAATTGAACGCTTTTGACAGATCAAGAGATAAAAGGACACTTAATTTTCGATCATTAATATTATGGCGGATGAAATCAGTGGCTTTTAAAAGTAAGTGTGTGGTGTTGTGCCTTTGCCGGAATGCAAACTGTGTGTCAGATATCATATTTGAAGTGTATTCCAAAATTTGATTCTTCAAGATCATTTCCATAATTTTTGAAATTGCTGGTAGGATTGATATTGGATGTAGGTCATCTGGACTATATACGTTTTTAGCTTTTGGTATAGGAACTACTCGGGCATTTTTCCAAGCTAATGGGTAAGAGGAACAAGTCAAGATGAAATTGACCAAATCCAAAATATAGTCACATATGTAAGGAATGACAAGTTTTATAAAGCGGATTGGTATTCCATCAATACCAACCGCATTCGACTTAATTTTATTAACCGCCTCAAAAATCTCAACCACAGAAACACATTTAAAGGAAAACGAAGTAATGTCATTAAATTGAGTTATATCAAAATTATCATCCGACGTAGAATTGGCCTGTGCGAAAAAAGTATTTATATCATTGACATCAATATCAAATTCTGCGCTATCATGTTGCACACATCCCGAATTCCTGAGCACTTTCCAAATTTCAGACGAAGTCATATTACCAAAAAGCTTTGAAAAATATCTCCTTTTATTCCTACGAATAACTGTCCTTGCTTTGTTACGATACCTACAATACTTTACCCAATTTTCCTGAGACTTATTTCTCTGGAAAGCAGTATATGCTAGATCCCTTACAGATCTTGCAAAAGTAACGTCCCTTGCCATAAACCAACGATCTGGAGAAAACTGTACCTTCTTTCTAACAATTGGTACACAAGAAAAAAGATCAGCAAGCAAACCACCTAAATAAGAACATTTTTCATTTGCATCGATTGAATTAGACATTGCATTATTATCAAAGGACTCAAGAAAGCTAAATAACCTAATCCAATTAATATTGTTATAATCACGAAACTCTATAAAATCGGGCAGATAATGGACATCGAAATCTATAGATGCAAAAATAAGAGCATGGTCAGACACAGACGGACATTGAACCTGATCAAAATATCTCACACATGAACTATCACTCGTAAGCATATAATCAATAAGTGAGGTTGATCTTCTACCTAAGTTAAAATGTGTGGGCATGGAATTATGTACGATAGATATATTATACTGGGCACAGATAGAACGAAAAGCATTGGCTCTGGATGTGTCAAAGAGATTGATGTTAAAATCCCCTAAAATGAAAACTTTGGAGTATTTAGAAAATAGGTCTCTATGGTGGCATTCAAATTCAACTAAATTTCCATTGGGCAAATAGACAACACCAAACAATATTTGAATAGTGTTAAAATGCACTACGACAAATAACGACTCACATCCTAACTCTGAAACTTTCAACACAACTTTATAAGAAATTCCGCTACGTATAAATATCCCTACACCCCCACCTCTGCCAGGACGATGTCGGTCATTCCGACAGAACTTATATCCAGGCAAGGAAACAGCTTTACTACATATTTCAGCCGACAGCCATGTTTCTGAGACTGCGAAAATATGAAATATGCCATCTCTTAAGATTTGCCTCAACTCTTCAATCTTTGACAAAGGTTTAAGACTTCGGCAGTTTAGATGAGCTAACTTGAAACTGCGGTCAAATGGGCAAAGTACATCCTTTATGTATGAGTTATTATTCACGACTGGACCTAGATTATCACGTAAGGGCATAATAAATCATAAATTTCGCAATTTCAACGTCATTGTTTTTCATACATTTTATAGTTATTAACCTTGTCTCAATCGTCCTTCTACTTGATGACATCTTCCTTTGACGAAATGTTCTACTTTATAATGTTATCCAAGCACATAATTAATTCTACACGCTTATTAAGACAATTTAAAATAGTACACCTTAACAATAACTTTTGTTATCTTATTTTTCTTTTTGTTTATTGTTAATTCACATATTAACTAAAGGTACCGAGTTTTCATATCTTTATGTTATGTTTGTTAGAATTGAGAAAATTCTGATAAAAAAGGTAAGTACATACCATCACATGCTTATTTCGAAATCTATGTGTGAAAAATGACACATAATAATATGTGTCTGTATATTAGGAGATTTTGTTAAATTTTACTCTAATTGGAATTTTTTTTAGAATACGGAGGTTAAATGTGGTGAAAGTTCAACAGGAGGTGTAAGGTTACAGTTTGTACGACAACAAAAATATAGATCACTATGTCCAATATATCAGATTTGTTATGTTAAAATTTTTGTAGCTATTATATGTTCTACTTGTACACTACTGATTTCAAGCGTTTGACTGACATCTAATAGCCAGCACACCTCTTATCATCATATTTGCAATTTTGTTTTAGCATAACCTAAATCTAATAAAATTTTAATTTAATCTTATCACGGCAATTTCAAAAACATTGTATTTAGAGCAATGGTATACCCTAAAACCACCTTACCAATACTCTGAAATACCTTACCTGAGATACCAGGTAAGCCTGTTAGCTTGATTATCTTTGTTTGATAAATGCAGATACATCTGGAGTATTATTCGGTTCGTCGAATGAGGCATGCCTGCATATGATGTCATATATTTCATTAGGAAATTTTCGAGTTCAAATGGGTTCATCAAGGTTTTCTAAAAAAATATACATATAAATATAAATATGTATTTATAATACTTTTCAAATTGAATGACGCCTTCGGCTAAAGCTCAGATTTAAAAAAAAAATTATAGAATTCAGATTCTTACTAAACCTTCATTTTTATACTCTCCACCATAGTATGGAGGGCATCTTAAGTTTGTCATTCCGTTTGTAACACCTCGAAATATACATTTTAGACCCCACAAAGTATATATATTCTTGATCAGCATAAAATTCTATATCGAATTAGCGATGTCTGTGGAAATCACTCTAGCTTCCGAACGAAATGAAGTAGATTGATAAAATTTTACTCAAATGTATATTATATCTGCAGGACTTTTGGTATTGAAAATTGTCTGTGCAGGTCCACGATTTCGAATAGCTCCCATATAACAGTACCTCCCGATATTCGGTATTTTGATGATTTTAGCGACATTATTCACCGGAATTGTTTAAAATTTGGTATTTGAAGTTCGTAATGGAAGCTACAGCATATGACAGAAAATTGTCTGTACAGGTCCACGTTTTCGTATAGCCCACTATAACGGTATCTCCCGATATTTGGTATTTTGACGATTTTAGCTACATTATTCACCGGAATTGTTTCATATTTGTTTCAACACTCCCAATTTATCATCATAATAATCGACAAAGCTAACATATTTCTTGATTAATTTCTTCTTCCTATGACACACCCTAATAAACCCGGTTGAATATCTGATAACTTCAATCTTACTACAACTGATAACATACAAAATTCTCGGTGATCGTGGGAAATAACAAAAGAGAACTCTTCTTTCAGAGTTATTTATTTATTTTGGTTCTCTCTCGCCATGTTTCGCTCTCTCTCTCTCTCCCCACCTTCAATTTTGTTTTGATCAATTCACATTGTGAGAGCACCATTTCAGTAATAAGAAAAACAAAATTATAACCGTTATTCTTGCCAGTCTAAAAACAAAACACATGCATCACGCATCTCATCGCTGATACCAAACGAGTCACACTCTACTCTACTCTTCAAATGCTCACAGCTCTTTGGGGTTTTCTGTCATTACGCTGTCGCTACTGCTGCTGTTTTGGTTGTCTGTGGTCGTCGTAGTCATCGTTGCAGCGCCTGTCATCGTTCACTTTGCCATATTCAATTAAAAATGGATTAAAAAACATTCAGTTAAAATAAACATAGCACTCAGTTAATAGGAATTAAGTACCAACAACTACAAAAAAAATCCCAAATGAACTCTTCTAAACAATTTGTACTAACATTTGTGTTATTGCTGTTTTTATTGATTGCCATACCGCCAAAAAGTGCGCGAGTAAAGTGTAGCCGAGTGAAAAGAGTTGGGAATAACAAGGTGGGAAATAACAACAATGAATTGGAAATCCAGGTATAATATTTATGGCACTCTTGATCAATTGTACAAAAATAAAGATTTTAAATATCTCTTTGTCTTAGAATGTAAACAAGATTGATGACGACAACTCGACGGGATTTTTGCAGGGAGAACTCCCTTTATGTACTGAGGATGAGGCATGCCCCAATGGCTATTGCCACAATGAGACTGGACAATGTATGTGTCATGCCGGCTTTAAATGGGATATAGCCAGAAAGCACTGCCTACCCATATGCGAAATCAATTGTGATCATGGCCAATGCCTAAAATCTCCCCGTAGCTGTGAATGCGATACAGGTTATGAGTTCAATGTCATCTCTAAGAAATGTAAACCTGTTTGCAAATCCCAGTGTACAACAGCAAATAATTCAAATCCCAATTGTAAACGAATTTGTTTGTCAAAATGTATAAGTGGAAAATGTTTTTCACTACACCACCGCGATCGCCATCATTACTACCAAAACGTATCGATAAACTGTAATGCTAACTGTGGATTTGGTGAATGTTTAGAACCGGGTGCCCTGTGTCAGTGTTATGAGGGATATGTTTTAAACCAAGTCACCCAGCTGTGTGAACCCATGTGCCAACCAAGATGTCCCAGACATAGTAGATGTGTTCTGCCCAACGTTTGTGAATGTAATCCAGGTTTCGGCATTGATCCTCTTAGCAGGCGGCGTTGCAAACCCCTTTTCAGTAAAGTATTTACATATAGTGCGGCTCTAGGTCAGCGTAATTGGGAAAACTCAATACAGTTGGATAAAATTATACAAATTGCAAATAAAACAACTTGGAAAAGTTGTTCGCCCGGTTATGTGTTGAATGCAGATACCTTAAAATGTCAACCCATGTGCCATAATAATTGCCTCAATGGCAATTGCTCCTCACCAGATGTGTGTGTTTGTTCGAGTGGTTATTCGATGAACAATACAACGTTTTCATGCCAACCGAATGCCTGTAGAATACCCTGTTCACACGGTTATTGTACACCAGATGGTGATTGCATTTGCTCGGAAGGCTACACTAAGTCCATTATACGAGGATCTGGTTGTGAACCATTGTTTAATCATACCTTAACAGTTGTATTTATTTTTGTTTGTATCATGACAATAATGCTTGTTATCATATGCCTGATAGCTGTTGCCGAACGACGACGTAGACGTCGATTTCTTTAGTACGGTTTGTGGTGGAGTGTCGTATTTTATTTTTATACCTATCCATCCACCTACCTACCTATATTTTTGTTTTGCTAAGTTTGTTTACACCTAAATATTTAGTGTATGTACATACATATTTAGAGTTAAGTGAAGTTGTTGTATTCTCTGTATTTGAATATGAAATAAAATTTTTGATATGACATTTTTATTTTAAACAGAAGGTAGAACCACCATTTCACTCACTTGATATTCGATTTTTTAAAATCAAAATATTTATGATTCATATTTTTAAGTGTATTTATATTTTCAAAATTTATTTACTTAGGAATAAGTAACAATTCACAGTGCTGCAAAATATATTGTCAGAATTCTAAAGTGTTAGCCCAAAATATTTTGAATTTTGAAAAAAATTAATGGAAATCGAGCTTTTTTTAATCATAAACGCCTCACGAAATGATTGTCGGATGTTCAAACTGCTAAATTTGACTACTCGAATGAAATCTGAAACATATTTTGGGGATATTCTCATAATTTGTATCGACTTAAAAAAATCTTTTGTTGACTCTTAATATTGAATTCGTCCATTACCAATTTATTATCAATGAAAATATCTATCTATGACATATATCAGAAGCAAGTTTATGATATTAAAATTTCGAATAAGATCAAGACCTTCCCATGGGGCTTTAAGCTGCAGTTTCCAATATCGTACCTCACATCGCATAATATCTAGAGTTTAGGTTTGGTTTAAGGAAGCGCAGTTGTCTTAATACAATTGCTCCACTCGAAGAGCTGCTGGTCCATCGTGTTGTCCACGAATAGAAAATTATCGTATTGCCATTAACCACTTAAATCTTCTAGAAAGGCAAATCGTAATTAATTTTCGCCGCCCTAAATCTGAGTCTCACCAAAACGAGAATTAGACAGCGGCAAAGTCCTCAGTAATCAGTGTCGTTGGCAGTCCAATCAGAAGTCATGGCCTTTATATTACAGTGACCGCTGATGATAATAAATACAAGTTTTAGGTCAGATTTCGCCATGGGGGAATGAACGAACTTGTTTTCTTCTCTAAGGGTGTAAGCCATCAAAAAATTACATCCCCTTTTATTAATTTAATTTTCAGATAATCTCTGCGAGAGTATGGACAAATTCTGCATATTGAAACCAATTAGGAATTAACAAATGTTAAAGGGGTTAAGTATATGAAAACCAACACCTCTATTCATATTTAATAGTAGTTGGGTTCCCTAGCGATTGACGACACAAAAACTTACTTTTGTTAGTGAATATCACTGGCTCCGTTTCTGATACTGCCTTCGGCCCCGCCCCTGTTAATCAATTTGTAAGCAACTAATCTAGGAAAACCAAATTTTAGGTACATAAGATACTTAAAGTTGAACTCTTTGAAAGGATGTCCCCATCAGATACCTGATAGTGACGCCAGGTATGGTGGTGAACCTCCGCTGGATTGTCTAGCTTCCAAGTTGTAAGAAGGTACCGATGCTGGTGTATTCTGCCCTAACCCAATGTTTAAAAACGCATATAAGCTCAATGATAACTGCAGTGTCTTTCAAGGGGAGTTTCTGCCAAGAAGGCAGCCGCCCTGAGAACTCATGACACCAGCGGACCATTTGCATGAGAAGGGGAAGGTTCTTCCTGTACGTCAGCATATCCATATTCCTTCGTTACAGCCCCTACGCAGGCGAATCAGGAAGGACATACATGATCTAGGGAAGCAGGTCCAACGCTAGACCAAGATGTATATCAGGTAGGCCTGAGTGGCTTTCATACAAGTCTTCCCCCACTTCAGAAGATCTTTGGTTACACACCACAAAGGTTTCTTGAATTTTTAAACCTAGAGTTAAAATAGGATTAGCAGAATTCAAACAATACATGTGAAGCTGTTACAACAACAACAACAAAAGTTGTTATTGCTTGGACCCTTATAAAAAAAGCTATAAAATTTGACTAATTTAAATAATTAAACAATTTATTATAATATGTGAATGCATTTTAGATTAGCTTCCGTTAATATCTTCCGGTGCATTTTTACTATAACTTGTGCGAAGTAAGCTATAAAACCCCTCATTCCCAAGCAGTTAAGAGCCTTACAACACATTCCATAATATTATAGCTAATATAATGATATTTCTTGTTAAATATTCTTAAAGCCACATCTTTCTCCGTTTTGTGCTGATTTCCTTGGGCCAGAAATCTCACAATAGGCTTTTGTGGTTATTGATAATAATAATATTACGAAGAAAAAGAAGAAGAAAGAAAGAAGCAAAAGCCATCTATGTATAAATCAGCAATTTTTATATTCATAGACTTTGCGGAATTTGCTCAAATGACTGCATGTTCAGTGTAATTTTATACTCAAAAAGAAGAGTCACGATTTGTTAGCCAATTGTGAGAATCGAACGAAAAAGCATCACTTCCCTTAAATATGGATTTGAATATAATGAAATTTCTAATTTTTACCATTTTTCTGCAATGCACTTTTGCCGACAATTGGTGTACCAGAGTGGTGCATAGAACCTACAATGTTGAGAATGACGATGGAACTTTGCAGGTAAATCAGTGATATGTTATCGTACTGTTCAATTTTAAACCAATTTTTTTCTGTTTTGTTTCAAAATTGTCATCATCATCACCACGATAGCCAAAAAACATTACAAGAAATGAACGTTATTGTTGCGAAGGTTACTATCTAAACGATGGCGACTGTGCCCCAAAGTGTGTGGAAAATTGTCCAAATGGAAAATGTGTTGCACCGGGCGAATGTGTTTGCAATGAGGGTTACAATTTGGATGTAGAAAGTCAGATATGTCAACCCGTTTGCTCCATGGATTGTGGTTTTGGCAAATGCAGTAAACCGGAATTCTGTGAATGTTTTGAAGGCTATACCTATGGATTGTCTAGCATCGTTTGTAATCAAGCCATTTGCAAGGAACCCTGCCAAGAATTTAGCACTTGTGTTAGGCCAAATGAATGTGAATGCATGGAGGGATATCGTTCCATTGCAAATAACACCAAATGTGAACCGATATGTGAAACGGGATGTCCAAATGGCGTGTGCATTAAACCCAACATGTGTGCCTGTAATCTAGGCTTTTCAATGAACTTCACCCTTAGAAGTTGTCAAGAAAACATATGTGAGCTGCCGTGTCCCGAGCATGGTTATTGTGAAGTCAATGGCCGATGTGATTGCATTGATGGTTATATTATATCAATGTTCACCACAGGTCCAAAGGTATTGTGTGAGGAACGTTTACCGCATGCCCTCAAGTTGTTGGCCATATTTTTGGCATGTACCCTTGTCTTTGCCATTATCATAATGATTATTGTAAAATGTATGACTCGAAAAGTGGACTATGAACCGCAAAAAGTCGAAGAGAAATATAAAATCAAACACACAGCCATGTAAAGATATAGCGCAGACGAAATATTTTAGATTTATTTTTATATACAAGCATTTGTTAAAATGATAATTAATGAGTAATATAATTTATTTATAAACAAAAACTAATAAAACAAAAAAACGAACTGCCGCATGCCTGCAAATAATAAATAACTTAATTCGTCATTTTTTCTTGTGGTTTTGCAATTGGCATTTGTAATGATCTAAATTCAAGTGGCTTGCAATTTGAATTGTGGTATCAGTAGGTCTTACATTGCACCCTCAAGGACTGCCACAGATTGCTTAATTGCAGATATGGATCAATTGATTGTGACAACTTATCCTCCCTAAGTGCTGTCATTTAACATGTTTTTTTTTTTTTTTTTTTTTTTCAAGAATACTACTTTATTGTGTGAAAATAATTATTTTGATAGGCAAGTTTCCTCTTGTGTGAGAGAGAAGTAATAAGGGGTAATGGACATTGAAAAAATAATTGCTCGAATTTGCGATTCCTTGACAGTTGTGGCAGTCTAAACATCCGAATAAAAGCAAATACAGAGAGAAGGTACGATATCATTTGATACGGCCAAAACGTGCCTCATCGAAATAACGGTTTTAGACACTAGGTCTCTTTGGACAAAATTCGTTTCAACACATTTGGAGTCCGCCCGTCCATCCGTCTGCCTAGCTGGTTCGCACAATAACTTTCGAAGGCAGTATCCGATTTGGTCCAAACTTGGTACATCGTTATATTATTGTCAAACTTAGATCGAGTCCAGAGATGGGCAATATCGGTCCACTCCTTTCGGTACCTCCCTCACAAAAGGTCGAAATTTTCAAATAAAATATTTTACTGTGTAGAAATTTGCATATCCCAATATTTGCATCAGTGCTGGGTCAGGTGGGAAAATGGACAATATCGGTCTACTCTATCAAGTACCTCCCCCCAAAGGGTCAAAATTTTGAATAATTATAACTCTTATAAAATATGATATAAGTGTCCGATTGCCTTCAAATTTCACACATCCTAATAATTTTATTAACCCAAGGTTTAGTGTTAAGATGGAATATATCGGGCCACTCCTCCTGGCAACTCTCCCACAAAAGGTCGAACATTTTTTAAAAATATGTTTTCTGCACAGAAGAGAAGCGATAATCCGATTTTGCGTCAGTGCTAGGTCAGGTGGAAAAATGGACAATATCGGTCTACTCTATCAAGTACTTCCCCCACAAGGGTCAAAATTTTGAATAATTATAACTCTTATAAAATATGATATAAGTGTCCGATTGTCTTCAAATTACACACATCAGAATCTTTTTATTAACCCAAGGTCTGGTGTGAAGATGGAATATATAGGTCCACTCCTTTTGGTACTTCCCCCACAAAGGGACAAAATTTGAGTATCCTTGAAGCTCATAAAACACGAAATCAACATCTGATTCCATTCAAGTACTTTTTTTTTGGAGAACTCGAATAGTCCAAAGTCAAAAAATGATCTTCAACTATCGATCGAATAAGAACAATATTTTTGATGGTGTCAACAAAAGATTGGACATCGTCGAAAAATCTAAACGAACTCAAAGTAATGAATTGTTTGACCTATTAAAGATCCCGCCATTGTTGGGTCTAGCTCTACACAACAGGGGCTGGCTGTCTATCTAATTATGTTAAAAAAACGTCGAACTGGGTAGCTGCCCCCATTTGTCCAGTAGATATTTTTTCTCTCAAGAAAATACAAAGAGTGTTTCTATTTTAAACTGTAAATTCGCATCTAATACAATTTTCCGATCAAAAAACCGCTCAAATGAAAAAGTTGGCTGTGGGGCTTCGTAATCGACGAAAGGAAAAAGTACAAAGGCAGGGAAAGAAAGGATATACGTCACCATTCATGGTCGTTTTTTTTATAAGCATAAGGCGGCGAAAGTCCTTCCAGTAGGTCAGCATAACCAAATGTTTTCGTTGAATTGACTGTTTCTGTGTTGTAGCGTGGGAATAATCCAAACATTATGCCTTAGATAAAACTCCCCCAACCAGGCGTGTTAGGAAGGACATAGGGAGAAAGGTCCAACGCTATAAGAGAAAGCCTCTAGATCTTCTTAGATTGCCCTGTCCAACTCGCTCCAGAATATTTTTGGTTACAGCCGGCGAAATTAGCCGAATTTTTGAACCTGAAGCTAGAACCGGATTAGCAAAAATCAAAAGAAACCTGTATGGAAACCTGTGTAGCAGCCACAACAACTTGCTACTTTTTTGGTAGACACCAAATTCAATTTCTTAATTTTGAAGGACATTCTTCGAACTAAATTCAACTCTCTTGACAAACGACCAAATTCCAAATAACTTGATGGAATCAGAAGATTTGAGAAAGCCGGCTAGAAACAAATAATTTTGTGTAGCATTAGCCTATTATGTAGCAGTCGCTACTGAATACATCTTCTCTATTTATTTGATTGCCAGGTTGATAAACGTCGTTCATATGACCCAATTCAAATTATAGTGATCTTCAGATTGCTGTTTTGGAAATAGCAAAGGCTTCAGTGTTAAAAAAAAGAAATCTAACCAGTTGTCCATCATCTAAATTTGTTCAGTAAGAAGTGCTGCAGAAGTGACCTATCACATTAAATTATTTTGTAGAACGGGGTTGGATGAAATCAGTACGTGCTGGAAAAATCGTTTTCAAAAAAATATCTACAATCATGGAAAATCACGTTGACTATGATATTCTTATTGATATGTTGTCAATTCTTATTGATATGTTGTCAATGAAAGCTACATTATTGTTGTTGTGATAAAGCGGGCTTATCTATTAAAAAATTCTGTTTCTTTCCATGTAAATAAATATTTGATCAGCGAACAAAAAAACTGCTTTAAGATGTGATATTCTTTAAAGTTTAATATCCACTAAAAATTGTTTTTAACAGTATCCCCCATTCTCTCCAAAGTGACTGATTTTCCTCTAACTCTATTCCATTGCAGATTGTTGAACCACCACTTGAATTACTAAATAATACACACAAAACAAATGCAAAATGTGTATTCTTTTTTGGATCCCGCAATTTGTAAGTATTTTTTGAACATATTTTAATTTTGAATTTTGCTATCAATAATCTCTTATTTTTCTTTATTTAGTGCTTGGATTGAAATCAATAACATCAAACCCTTCGAGGGACCATGGAAAGAACAATTATCGAAACTAAATAAACCGGCCTCGTTCCGACAAGCCATGGAGGACATTAAAAAGCACATGGAAGATCCTACCGAAATCGATGAGTTCATTAGCAAAAGTACCGGTATACGCAGTCAACCGACTGAGGCCGATTTTGATAAGATACGTGATGGCTATACTACCGAAGATGAAAATACCATTGACACAAATGCCAATAATCTCGACAACAATGGTGAAATTTCCGATGTAGATGATAACAAAGATGGAGGTGTAGTGACGGCAGAAGCGGTGGCGGCGACGACGGCAACGGTTGTTAAGACACCAGCCAAAAGAGTACCAAAACCAAAAGCCCTCACAGCACCTACCACAAAAGTGGCCAAATCGGCCATAGCAAAAACCTCAACAAAACGACGCGCCTCACAGACACCGGCCACCACCAAACGTAAACGTAATGACACCACACCGCCACATATCAACAATGACTATTTGGAAGAGAATGCCTCACCGCGTCGTAGACTTCTGCCCGAAGCATTGGCGCACATTGGCGGCAATGTTAGTCCACCGCGTAGGAATAACACCTCAATAGCCCTGCTGGAACGGCCACATGTCAGGGTGCCGGAAACACAAACCATCGATATGAGTACGCGTTCTCAAACACTGGCCGAACGTGATATTGTGCCGTCGGACTTGACATTTGGTTTCCTTGGTTTGGGTATAATGGGTTCGACCATTGTCAAGGACTTGATCTGCACGGGACACAAAGTTGTCGTGTGGAATCGCACAATGTCCAAATGTGAACCATTTAGAGAGGCCGGTGCCGATGTCAAAGAAACACCCGAGGATGTGGTAAATGCAGCAGACATTATATTCTGCTGTGTCTCAGACCCCAAGGCCTCAAAGGATGTAAGTAACAAATAGATTTCATTTTCATTTTAGTTTCAATACAATATTGTTTTCTGTTTGTAGTTGGTTTTCGGCAACTGTGGTGTGTTACGTGCCGATCTATGCAACAAAGCCTATGTTGAAATGTCCACAATAGATCCGGAAACATCACAAGACATAGCCGAGGGCATTACACAAAGCAATGGCCGTTATTTGGAGGTACAAATTCATGGCACCCGCCAAGAAGCCGAAGATGGCATGCTTATCATATTGGCCGGTGGCGATCGCACTGTTTTCGATGAATGTCAATCCTGCTTTAAAACAATTGCCAAAAACACATTCTTTTTGGGAGGTAAGTTTGTAATTGCAACTAAAAACAACAATTGTTGTCACCAAAAAATGCACAAGAAAAAAATGTTACTATGCGAATATTTTTGAAACAAACGATGGCGGTTTCAAGGCTCAAGATTTAACTGGGACCGTCCGCCTATTAAATTAAGAAATTAAAGTTCCTGGAATACGTATTTGGCATGTCAGAGTTTGGGTTCTTCTAAGAATAAAAGTCTCGATTAACCCTTGGCAGAAGCCACTATTATTTTGAATCATTGCTGAAATCTCTTATTTAGGCTAAACTTCCGATCATTTTCAAGCTTCACATATGCGAATATTTTTACCAACACAAGATCTGGTGTGAAGATGGCGTATATCATCCCACTCGTTTTGATACCTACCCCACAAAGAGAAAACATTTTGAATATTTAAGGTGCGAAATAGACTTCCGATTCTCTTTAAGTTTGATAAATTTCAATATTTCTACCAATACAAGATTTCGCGTGTAAGTGGATATATTGGACGACAGCTTCGGGTATCTTCCCTACAAAGGGGTCGATGACATATGTGAAAGGTTGAACCCCTATCTCGCGGAGCTTGTCGCCTACTTCCACGTGAGGAATATGAAAATATCCGCCATCCGAACTACCTCAAGATTTTAGGGGTCACATTCGACAGCATGTTCAAGTCGTCCGCGCAAGCCATAAGATAAACAGTAGCCTGCGCTAGCCTGCATCTCTTGGGGTGCGAACAAAGAAACCTTGTTGACCTCTTATAACGCGATAGGTCGATCTTTGGTCAGCTGTGCGGCTCCAGTGTGGTCTGCGAATACTAGTGCTACGCAGTGGAAACACATCAATACCTGACAGAATGCTGACCTGAGAAGTGCGGTGCGGGGCCTCCCCATGACATCAGTAGACCATCTACATGAGGCGAAAGTCCTTCCTTAAGTCAGCATAATCATATGCTTTCATTGCAGTTCCTGCTTGGGTGTTATCGTTGGAGCCATTCCAACCATTATGTGGTGTCTACAACTCCCCGACATAGGAGTGTCAGGAAGGACATACACGATCAAGAGAGGGAAGTCCAAAAAAGAACCTCTAGATCAAGAAGCCTATCAGGCAGGTCTAAGTTGCATTCATACCGAGGCAGTCGCAAATGCTGTCAGCAATTACAGGATGAATGCCGGCCTTGGTGTCCATTTGGCGCAATTACGTACAGGATGGTGTAATCGTCTCAATTCGTATTTTGCACGAATTAACGTAGTTGTGCGTGACGTCTGCCCGGCGTGTGATACAGGCCCGCACAAAACGCAGCACCTCTTTAATTGCACAGCCAAACCTACACACCTAAAGTAGCTGAATTTCTAAACCTGGAGCTGGGACCAGATTAGCAGAACGCAAACACATGCATGTACTACTGCTACAACAAAAACTACAAAGGAGTCAAAATGTTGAATAACCAAAACTTTCATAAAATGCGAAATAGGCATCCGATTCCCTTCTAATTTCTGGTGCATCTGGTGTGTGGATGCGATATAGCGGATCACTCCTTCTGTTATATATCCCCCATAAAGGGTCAGTAGTTTGAATAGTCAGAGACAGTCAACTGCTAATCTTGATTTCAAATATTTTTAATCGCCAGAGCAAAACTTCAAAGCAGAATTTCTTCTTGTGCATTATTATTAGAATACTATGATTCTACCTTTCGGGTTTCAAACCTTTGCATAGAACATGACCAGTTTTCCATAATTTTTTTTATTAAACACAATATTTGCCACAAAGAAATTTTAACGTGTTGTTGTGTTTTTTTCTTCTTTTTCACCGCTTTCTATCTGTGTCTTTATTCCTATCTATCTGTATGCCATCTCCTCCTGCTTTTCTATTCCTTTTAAAACTGTCGCTCTTATTTATTGTATTTTTACTATTATTCGTATATTTATTTGTTATATGTTATTTGCAATAATTGGCCTTTTCTTGTTTGCTTAATTCGCTTTTTTTTTGTTTCTTTTTCGTGTTTCTTTTTTCGCGCTTTTATGTTTTATTTTATTGTTTTATACTACCCGTATTAATACTTTAGCAGATGTTGGCAATGCGTGCAAAGTTAATTTGATACTACAAACCATATTGGGCGTAAGTTTGGTTGGTTTATCAGAGGCCTTAGCATTGGGTAAGTGTTTGAACAAAAATTTTAGATTTTTTTTATGAAATTGAGTTTCTAATGTAATTGCTTTTCTTCGATTGCAGCTGATCGTTTCTCAATTTCCCTCAAGGATATTTTGGATATTTTCCAATTAACATCTATGAAATCAGATTTATTACTAGCCAAAGGCAGAGGTAAGTTGTGGAATTTGAATTTTTTAAAATTGAAAGCTAACTTTTTTTCTCCTCTTTTTAGAAATGGCCAAAGGCGACTTCAATCCCCAACAGCCGCTCAGTCATATGCAAAAAGATTTACGTTTAGTTCTAAGTATGGCCGAAAATTTAGATCAATCAATGCCTGTTACATCGATAACAAATGAAGTTTTCAAACACACCAAACGTCTGGGCTATAGCGAACACGATTCCAGTGCTGTATTTGTAAGATCCAGATTTTAACAATTAGTTAATACTGCGCTATTATTTGACACAAACATTATGAATACAATACAAACGGCAACAAACACAGCGACAGCAACTATACCAACAACTGCAACAAATACAGAAAACAACATCAACAATAATATTATTTAAATGATTTAGACTATCATTTAGGTTTTTTTATATATATTGGGATAAAGATTGAGATATAAACACATCGTCTTGTATAAACTTAAAGTTTATTTAAAAAAAAAAAAATAATGAAATAAAGGGACAAAATATTAAGAGAATGCTGACTCTATTTAAGCAGAACAAAAAAAAATAATATAAATAAAAACAATAAAAAAAACAGAAAAAATCTTGAACAACATTTTAAATTAAATTCCCACCAAACAACAACAACAGACGCAACAGCAATATTTTCAATGTGTGTGTATGTGTAAAGCATAGAATTAATATTATGAAAGAACCTGATGCTTCAACAGCAGAATATAAAATAAAAATCCTGCAATTTTTGGCAGTCCCTTAAGGTTTAAAAAATCAATATTTTTTTGCAATAACTTAAGGTCTAACAAACACCTTTTAAAAGAAACTAAACCCAAACCCAATGCATGCAACTATTTTTTATTCATCGGATTTGGTTTCGAAAATTTGTGTTTTTTTTTTTTAATTGAACATACACACACATTGTAACTAGTTATAACATTCTGATTCCCTTAATTTTATTTTTGTTTTCTTCTTTATCCTTACAAAAAAATATTTAAGGCAATTTCTTTTTAAAAAAAATATACATGATCTTATTTTTTGTCAGTGTATAGGAAATATTATGCTCTAAAGAATATTTTTTATATAAATAATTATGTTTGCATTTTTATTTTTTTGTTTGTTTTAATTTAAGCTTACATTTTTTTAATTCTTAAACTGCAATCTTGAATACATAAATAACACATGGGTTGAATAGTCCCGGACCAAACAAAAAGACAAAGTTTATTTTTTTATTTATTTATTTTATTTTTATCCACTGTGAGCCTTCTTCAGGAGCGATGAATATTTTTTATAGAACTGATTTTATTTTAATTCAGAAAAAGTATCTTAATTAATTAAAGCCTTTTCAAGGGAATGTTGAATATAACAGACAAATAGCATTTATGTGGTTTGGTTTTTGGTTCAACAAATTTACTTTTTTTTAGATTATTTTTATCCAAGAGGGATTGATTATTCAATTACCAATGAACCTAAGGATCTGGTCAAACGATTATTATTTACTACAGAATTGATTTTTTTCATTCTTACAAAAAAGAGATTCCATTAGTTGTTGTTGACACATTTGCTCTAGTAATCTAGCTATTGTTCGGAATGCCAGCAGCTGTAATCAGAGATCTTCTGAAGTAAGAAAGATAAAGAATATCCAGGGTAAAGAGAGAGAGAGAGAGAGAGCAGTAGGTTTCATATAAATTGTAATATTTTTATGATGCTGCAACTCCACTTCTTTTTGGTTGTTATACAACCAATCTGAGGCATATTCTCCCATCACTTGACCTTCGAAGTATGATGCATGTATCTATGAATAAAAGATTTGATTTGTTCTTGAATTTCAATGCTGAAATGGAAATATCTTTACCAAATTTTGCCGTTTACGATGCACAATCTTCTTCCGCTACAGAAGTTCCCTCTCGAACCCTCTTCTTCCCCACAGTAGTCTGAGACATGTAAGCCATATGCTTTAGCTTTCACTTCTGGACTGGCTGAAATTAAGCCATTCTCATTGGACGATTTCTGTGCTAGAGTCCTTAATCAGTATCGTATCAGTGCTAGGTCCGGTGCGAAAATGGACAATATCGGTCCACTGCATCAAGTACTTCCACCAAAAAGGATGAATATTTTGAATAATTATAATTCTTATAAAATGTGAAATAATGGTCCGATTCTCTTCAAAATTTTTACATTCCGTTATTTTCATTAACAAAATATCTGGTGTGAAGATGGGATATATCGGTCCACTCCTTTCGGTACCTCCTCCACAAAGGGTCAAAGGGTCTCTCGTAAAACGCGAAATAAGCATCTAATTCATTCTAATCTTCACACATTCCAATATTTCTACTAACACAAGATTTGCTGGGAAAATGGTAGATAACGGCGGCCCACTGCTTCTGGAACCTCCCTCACAAAAGGAACAAAATGTTGAATAGCAAAACGTCATGACACAGATGTGGCTCCTCCTAGCTTTAGATGCCATGTCACATGACAACTTACCTTCATTCTTATGGATTCCGCCAATGCTCTTCTTTAGTTCCAATTATAGATGTTAAGGAACATTTGATTTCATTGTTTTTGGGAGTTCCAATTTTTTTGTGATCTTGACTAATGGCTTAGGTAAGAAGAAATTCAACATGTCCCAGATCAGCATAGGTTTTCTGCTCTTTTTTTCTGGTTCTATAAAATGCTAGTTAAACGTCCAAGTCGTCACATTTTCAATTCGATGCCCTGTTTGTACTGACTTTAGTATTGGGCCCCAACTCTACAAAATGAGAATTTATCCAAAGCTCAGGAATTGTTGCCCTGTGCAATTAATAATAAAAGCCAAAGTTCATCTGCCCTAGACCAATACTCAACCTATCCTCTTTACTCCTAAGATAGGTTTATATGGGTCTACCAATTTCTAGACTGATGATCAGAACACCTCCACTAGAACTCTCCGATATACCCACCTTGTTTGAGCAATTTTTCTAGATCTTAAACATTTTTTCTTTCTACTTTTTATTCGATGTCCTGTTCTTCTACTAATTTTAGTATTGGGTCCAACTCCACAAAAGGAGGTGTTTTCCAAAGCTCGGCGATTTTTGCCTTGTATTGCTAATAATATAAACCCAAGTATATCTGCCCTAGACCAATACTCAACATATCCCCTTTACTCCTAAGGTAGGTTTATATGGGTCTACCAATTTTTCGATTGATGATCAGACCACCTCCACTAGAACTCCGATATACCCACCTGGATTGAGAGAATTTTAAAAAAAATTGTTTTTCTTGATCTTAAACAATTTTTGTGATCATGGCTGTTGCCTCAGGTAAGAAGGAAGCAGAACCGACCCAGATTATTCATTCTAAACAGCTTTTTCTCCTGAACTGTTGAATGCTAATTGGACAACCAGATCACGTTTGTAATTCCACGTTCAACTAATTTCAGTATTTGTCCAAATCCATAGAAGCCAAAGTATATTTGCCCTAGTCCAAGAGAAGCAGATCTGCCCTAAACCAATACTGACCATACCTTAAACCTAATTTAATGATCAGATCGCCTTTCTCTAATATCCATTCAATATATCCACTCTCATCAAACATCAGTACCAAAATTCCCATTTCACACCACACCATTCTCAGGAACAGCGACCAGGTTGCTACCATCCAAAAGAAAGTCAAGGCCTTGGCACATGGACTAAACATTCATTTCTTCAATTCGTGTATAAATTGTTTTACATCAGGGATGGCCGGGGGTGCGAATTTTTTCGATCAATCTACAAGTGTCTGTTATACTCTCTACAGGACTAAATGCTAAATTCTTCCGTTTAACTATAGACAGCACTGCAATGACCTCTAATCAGGAAATTTTTTTTGTACATTTTACATGGAATAGTATTTCTAGGCATCATCATACACAGCAGTTCTGAATTTTGGAGTTGGCAGCACGGCTACCTAAGTGAAATGAGTTCCGTTTAACGCAATTGAACCTCATTCCATAAGGTACCACTTTAAGTAAATTTATTTTCGGTAGAATCAAGTTTAGAGCGCTGATTAACCCCATAGATTCGGTTATTTTATAAGGTATCACTTCGGTCCACCCTCCACCTTGAAAAGGTGGGGGTATATTAGCTTTATCATTCCGTTTGTAACATCCCAAATATTCGTCGTAGACCCCATAAAGTACATATATTTATAATCGACATAAATTCTAAAAATTAACAATGTCCGTCTGTCTCTTGAAATCACGATACAGCCTTCAAAATTCAGCTTCAAAATTTACTAGAACAATTTGTATTGTATCAGGGATGGTTGGTATAGAAAATGATATATATCGGTCCACGTTTTGGTATGGTCGCCAAATTACGGTACCTCTTGATATTCGGTACTTTGAAGATTTTGGCCAAATTTTTCCTCGGATTTGTGAAAAAAATTGGTATTTGTTGGTCATAATAGATTTATAATCCTAGTCACATTTACCTACGATATTGTTTCAAATTTGGTATTTAGAAGGGTTGGGAGATGAGAATCCTTGAAGTATAAAAGTGTCTATGGAGGTTCCCGTTTGGTATGGCCCCATATAACGGCCTCACCCACTTGATGGTTTTTTTAAAAGCTTAACAGCATTGTCCAAACGGTCTTACACGTTACTCAGATACTTTTATAAAAAATTATTTTCTTTGGTTCGGCCCGGCCAACCTTAACGTTTTTTTTTTTGCTTGTTTTATTGAAGGAATCAGCGGGTCAGAATTTAGAGGCGTGAAACTTTAAATAAAAAATCAAAAGCAAATGACTTCACAACGATTAGATTAATTATCGACTTCTGATCTCACCTTGAGAAATCAGAAAGTATGGACTTCTTTAAGAAATACTTCTGATTTTCTGATTCTTAAAACACTGCATTTCTCAAAGTTATAAAAAATAATTGTCAATAATTGTTGTTACATCCGAAACCATTATGCCCATGTGTTACACAATAGTGATTCGAAATTTTTAATACAACTAAACATTATGTTTTTTTTTTCTTTTAATATGTTTTATTTTTCTTTTCCAAATTGAATTGAACTTAAGATTGCAAACAGTAAAATTGATGCGAAATTTTCAAAAAATCAAGAACAAGAAATTCAAAATCAAGAGGAAATTTTAAATAGATCTACTAATGAAACAAATATCAACTCACTAACAACAATAAACTTACAACAGGATGTGCAGAACAGTGCTGCCGAATCTAAAACACCAACGCCGATTAAATCAAACACAACAAATGATAACTTTCAAAGAACTTTTATAACAAGTATGGTCACACCTAATGGTCATGTTGTGGCCCAGGAAGAAGATGATGAGGACGACAAAAGCAAATTGCAAAATCAACTACACGGCGGCAATCGAAGAAATCCCCGATCCTCCGACAAACCCAAAAAGAAATTATTTTAAACATCTATTTCTTTTTTGTTGTTCCCAGCTGATAAAAAATGCATGTATCTCTAAAATATTATTGTTTTCATTAAAAAATCTTGTTGTTAGTGTCTTATACGAATTTAATTTTTTTTCTTCTTAATTTTTCTCTTTTTTTTAAAAACTATAAACCATGTGAAAATGTTATAATTTTCAATATGTATG